GAAGGACGAGAGAGCAGGTCTAGGGGGAGGCCAACTGCTGGGGCTCAGGAAGGAAGTGGGGAGGCAGGTGGGCTTGTCGGGGGCAGTCTCAGGAGGCCCGCGGGCTGCAGGGAAGGAGAGACTGCAGGTGAAATGAGCCCCGGCGCCCGGGCTGCAGGGAGGTTGCTCCTTCCCGCCTGGGGAGCGCGGTGGGGAGGGGGCTCGGGGGCCAGAAACGCTCCAGATGAGGATGGGCGCTCCAGAGAACCCGCTCTTCCACAGGCCGGGTCAGAGGCCGGGCCCGAGGCTCCTGGGTCAGCCCGGGGCTGCAGGTGAGTCATGGGGAGGGACAGGTCAGGCCAGGTATGTAGAAACCTGCCGGGCCACCCCAGGGTGCTGCCCTCCCTGACGGGTGGGGAGAGTGGTTGGGAGAAGGGCGACTGGACAAGGGGACTCCCTGGACCTCAGCTCTGCTGCTCTTACCCAAAGGCCAAAGGCCCCCAGAGAGGATCCGGTGGGCCTGTCCCAGGCCAGCTCCTTTCTCTCACTCACAGCTACCGGGGCTGCGCCTGGAGTGTGTTTCGAGTGGGTGCCAGGCCTGGGACCCAGACAGGGGGGCGGGGACGGGGACCCTGTGGGTTCTGGGATGAGTACAGGGAAAGACAGGCGGGGTGTCCAGAAGGAGAGGAGAGAGTGGAAACTACCTTGGCCGGCCCCTCCCCGGGTCCCAAGCCATAGGCGGCCAAGGGTCACTCACACTTCCCTGAAGAGGAGAAGCAGGCCCCGGGGCCCCTCGGTCCAGCCTCCAGCCGCCTGCCTGCTCAGGTGAGCCGCCTCCTGGCTGGGCTGTTTGCATAAGAGGCCAAGGAGGCCTGGTCTGTAACTCTTTCCTCCCTGCGGCCAATCCCGGGCAGCCGGGGCGGCTCCAGTCCAGGTCCCGGCCTGTCCCCTCCCGACTTCCAGGCCTTGGGGCGGGGATGGTGACCACACCCTGAAATCCCCGCATCAGGACGGGCCCCTGGCCCAGGGGGAGGAGTCTCCGAGGCCCAGCGTTCCCTGGAAGGGAGCGAGGGATAGAGGCTGTCACCGTCCCTCTCCTGCCCTCTCCTGGGGAGACCGCGGCGAGGGTCTGGCGTCCAGGCCCCCTTCCCGGCCACCCTGCAGGGCGGGCACACACCTTCTGCTTTCCGCGTGGACTGTCCTTGCTGAGGGGCGCAGGACGGCCAGGCCTGACGCCGCCTGGCTGAGAGGACGGAGCCGATGGCCCAGGGAGGGGCTGGGGTCAGGCAGTCCTGGACCAACAGGCGCTGGGCCACCCCCTGGCTTTGTGACCTCCGGACAGTCACGAAACCTCTCTGAACCGGTTTGTACTCGGGGCAGATGGGTAAACAGGGCTTCTCGGGCCTCCCTCCCGAGCTCGTGGGGCGAGCCTTTGAATGGAGCCCACAGGGCCGTCAGCCCGAGCGGGATGGCACCGGCCATGTCTCCCTGCCATGCGCCAGGAGTCTCTCTGTGAGGCTGAGTGGGTGGGGACTGACCGGGCTATAAAATGCTCCTCTCTTCTGGGGGGTTCCCCACTTCTGCCAACTGTCCTGTCTGCCATGGCCCCCTCTCTTCTTGTCCTGCGGTTCAACTGGATCCTCCCCAGCTCCCCACACTCCCGACGCCCCTCTGTCAGGGAGCAGGTCCCTCCCCTCTGTATTGGGCCCCCTTCACCCCTTTTCCCAGGACCCCACATCATCTGGGACCTCCTGTGACCCCCAGAGCCCCCCCTCTCCCAGAGGCAGTCCAGTCACGTGGACTCAGGGGGTTCACCCTCCACCTGCATCCCTCTCTGGCCGCAGTCTCATCCTTCCCAGCCAAGCTTCTGAGAGTTGTCTGCATCAGGCCCTCTGGATCCTGCCCCAGCCTCACACCTGCCACCCTCGCCTTCTGCCCCCCTTACCCTCCCCCGCCCCCTGCCAGCTCCTTAGAAGTGGCCACTTCTTAGGAAGTGGTCTTTAAGTGTCCTTTCTTCTGGACACTTCTCCCGGCCTTCTGGGCCAGCATCCTGCTTTTCCTCTAGTTCCTGCTTTGTCTTTCCTCTCCGGCTCCTCTCTCCTCCCTACGTCTGTCACTCAAAAGCCGCAGCCCCAGGGCTGAATCACGGCTCTGGTTCCACGGCCACACTTTCTCTGTACCCACAGCTCTGCCACAAGGTACCGAGGCCTGCTCCTGGGTGGCACACCTTGCCCCCGTGTCCTGACCCAGCTCAGCCAAGGCTGCATGGCACTTTCCCACAGGGGCGGGAGCTCAACCTTGTGCATCCTCCTGGCCCCACAGCGCCCACTTCCAAGACTCCATCTCACCCCATGTCCGGGAGCTCACAAGGCTCCTCAGTCATTCTGGAAGTCACAGGGGTCTTTCCTCAACTCCCCTTCTTCTTTGCTGAGAACTTTCAGGGGCTGCAGGTGTCCAAATTCCTGACAAGACCCTATGAGGTCCCCACGGGTCAGGCACCACCAGCTTCTGACCCTGACAGCTCACTCCTGAACCCCTGCTGCACCGGGTGGGGGTGGGGCTGCAGGGCCCCAAAGGTGCCATGTCTGAGGCCTGCACCTCTGCCGGTGCGCCGCAGCACCCTAGGGATACTCAATCACAGGCCGGACCGTGGCTCTGTCCCCTTGTGCCAGGTTCCGGTCCAGACAGAGCCCCCGGGGCTGGGCGGGGCCTCAGTCACCTTTAGATCCAAAGCTCAGCTGGAACTTGGCAGGGGTGCAGTCATGCTTAGACTGAGTGCACGGAGGCAAGGGTAGGGGAAAACAAGCAGGCTCACCTTTCAGGAAATTCCTCTAAAGGCTGCTTGGACAACTAAGAGCAGGGTGGGGCTTCCTCCCAGGAAAGAATAAATTCCCATCCCCAGAGTTTATAGGGAATGGGGTGTCAGGAAGACCCACAGCTGACCCTTGAGTAAAGCACTGTCACCAGGGCACACAGGGCCAGAGGGGGTAAGGCACCTGTTCAGGTCACAGGGTGACTCAAGGCCAGAAGTGGGGCCAGGCATAGCCAACCCCCTGGTTTTAGGGGCGTGGGACAGGGGGCTCCGGTCCTCATCCCTGGTCAACACACACTTGGGGCCAGGCCCAGTGCCAGGCTGGGCTTTCAGAGGGCAAGACCTGCCCCCCACCTGGAGGGGCAAGGAGTGCACCTGCGTGAAGCAGAGACAGAATAGAGCATGGGGGGAGGCTGGGAGTGGGGCACCTAGGAAGCGGTGGCTTGTGAGGGGGGGAATACCACTGGCATCTATCCTCTATCCCAGAGAAGCTGTCGGGTCCCCAGTGAGGGGCGCCAAGCTCTAGGTCCTGCTCAAGCTGGGGTACAGCTCCCAGTTCCCACTGACCCAGTGATGTTCTCCACTCTGGCCACAAGGGGGCGGGTCTTCCCTTGTAGAAGCCCGAGCGAAGGGGGTGCAGACCTGGAGGAAAGGACACAGCGGGTCTTGGTGGAACCCCTACTTCCACCTCTCACCCCATGGGAGGATCACAACAACTGCAATCCTTAGGTGTTGTCCTGCGTTTATACGCAAGCACCCGGGACTGGGAGGATTAAGTGACTGGCCTGCAGCTGGCTGGTGACCCAGCAGTCAAATTCGAGTCTTTGTGGCTCAAACCCTCACTCTCGGGCCTCCCTGGCGGTGCAGCAAGTTGAGCGCCGCGGTGTGAAGCTGTCCGCAGCCTCTGCAGCGCGGGTTCGATTCCCGGCCAGCCAGGGAGAAACCCACATGGCGCAGCAGACCTCTCCTGCCGTGCCTGCTGCTCCCCTCAGCAGTGTCTTGGTCCGTCTGCCTGTTCTGTTCCCCGCTCTGTCTCTGGGGAATTCTCTCACCCTCCCGCGCCTGTGACCTGTACTCCAGCTCTTGTATAAACAAAAAATAAACAACAACAACAAATCCTCACTCTCTTCACCATAAAGCGGGGGTGGGGTGGGGTGTGGGGCCCAGGATCCAGCAGACAGGATGGTGGCCCTGCCTCTGGGCACCTCAGACACTGATCCGTCCCGGGCCGTGGCGGCACCGATGGTTGCTGTGATCACACTAAGTACAAAGAAGATCCCAGGCGGACAGCCTGAGTCCACCCTCTCGGCCCCCTTTGGGTTCAACGACAAACACAGACTCTGCGGAAAGGAATGAAGGGCCCATCACACACAGTCGGTGGCAGATGTCAGAAGGGGGGTGCTCACTGCCCCCCCTCCCCGGCGCCCCCTCCCCCTACACATACACGGCTTCTCCCCGAAAAATGTCTCAGGTTCAAGATGCCAGGACCGCCCACAGGGCTCGGAGGGTGCAAGAGAGTTTTTAAAAGTGCTGCATTTCCGACTTCCCAAGTTAACATAGCTGGATTCTAAAGCAAAAACAAACAAAAACCAAAAAAAAAAAAAAAAAAACCCAAAACAACAAAACCTCACCAAAAAAAAACAAAGCAAACAAACAACCCCACCCCTCCCCCCCATAAAACTGGATTTCTTAACTGGATTTCTTTATGAAACAAACCCATCAAAAGTTATAAAACAAACGAACAAACAAAAAAGAACCGAAACGCTGGAGGCGGCCAGAAAGGGAAGCAGACCTGGTTTCACATCCACCGTCTCCTCCGCCCCCCGGCGCTGTGAGAACGGCCGCGCCAGGCCCGCGGCCCCTCGCTCCACACCCGGGGCGCTCCGAGGGCTCGGGGAGGCCCGCGCGGCACACCTGCCGGCCGCTCCGGGCGAGGCTTGGGGCAGCGCCCCGTAACCGCGTTTACTAGCATTGCTGCCGTCACAACAGTAACTCACGTCGGTTCGAGTCCAGCTCCGCCACGAGTGACGAGCGCCCTCCGGGCCCCCGGGTTTGCAGGCCCTTTGGCTGCGGGCCCGCGCGCTCTTGCTCCGCGGCCGAGGAACGCGCGGCCCCGCGCGCAGGGGCGCGTCCCAGGTCTGCGGGCTCCGCGGGGGCGCGGCCCAGCGGGTCTCCCGGCGGCCCCCCCCCCCGGCTCCCCGCGGCGTACCTGCTCGGGGCGCTCCTCCCGCGGCTCGCGCACGTCCTGGATGGCCTCGTAGACATTGTCCGAGTCGCTGCGCGCCAGGGGCCGCGGGCACACCCAGGAGCCCGCCACGCTGCAGGCCTTGAAGCCGCCGGCGCTGCCCAGGAGGCCGGCGGGGGGCGCGGCGGGGCGCGCCAGGTCGTCCAGGGACTGCGCGGGCCGCACGCGCGCCGCGGGCCGCGTGTACAGGCAGGCGGGCAGGCCGGGCGCCAGGCTGCGGCGCTGGGTGGCGGCGCCGCGCCGCGCAGGGACGCCCAGGGAGCCCTGGCGGCCCCGGGGCTCGGCGGGCGCGCTCACGAAGCGGTAGTCGTAGGCCAGCGGCTCGGGGGCCGCGGGGCGCGGGAGGGGCGCGGGCGGCGGCGGCCCGGGGGCCGGGTCCCCCAGCGCGGGCAGCTCGCGCACGTACTGCGCCGGCAGGTAGAAGGGGCGGCCGTCGGGCTCGCGCCGCACGTGCCACCAGTGCTCGGTGCTGCGGCGCAGCAGGCGGTAGCGCTCGTTGGGCTGGATGGCCACCCGGCGTCCGTCCTTGCCGGTGTACTCGAAGGGGTGCTCCACCAGCACATACACGTCCCCCTCGACGTCCGCCGCCATCGCGGCCGCGGCGACTCTCTGTGGGCGCGAGAAGGGGCGCGGGGTGAGGCTGGGGGCTCGGGGCGACGCCAGACCTCGCCGCCCTCCCCGCGCTGCGCTCGCGGTGCGCGCTCGCCTGCCCAGGGACAGGCACCTCCAAGGCGCCCGTTCTCCCGCTCAGCGATGGAATTGCGGCAACCCTTCCGTTCTGTGCTGTGGGTGAAGAGATTTGAGCCCGGCTCCCACCCCTGGATGGATATTTTGCGGGCGCTACAACGGCACAGCCCGGGAAGCCTCGGATCAAAGAGATGCGGTGATCGCCCGCGATGAAAGACGCTCGTCTAAAAGCTGCCAGGGCCTCAGTTTCCTCCATTCCGCCCGTCCACCCCACCTCCGGCCCGACGCCTGAGCCCCCGGGGGATCGGCGTGCGCAGCGCCACCTCCCTCCAGGCCTGGGGTCCCTGGTCCTCTGGGTCGGGGTGGGGGACGCGCCCTGGGGACCGCCCCCGCGCCTCTTGGTCCAAGGGCCTTGGCATACCCGGCCGCGACTGCCAAGGCTGGGGAACCGGTTCTCTCGGTTTCTCTTTCCTTCCACTGTGGCCTCGCCTCAGACGTGAACCCAGAGCCGGCCGAGCCCGCCCAGACCGGCCGCACCAACCCCTGCTCCCCAGCTCCCACCTCTCCCTGGACGGCCGCTAGCCCTCTGGCCTGCCACCTGCCCTGAGGTATCTACCCCGCCCCAAGAGAGAAACCCCAGAGAACACACTTCCTGATGGTAACACATGTGTCCCCAGGGTCCCCCAAAGCTCTCCTGGAGTGACCCACCCCACACCCCCGCTACGCAGGCTCAGCCTAAGTGTGCCCGTGCCCTCCCATCAATGCCAGGAGCCGGTCACCTGCTGCAGGGTGGCTGGTGCCTCCTGTCCTTACCCTGGACACCCTTCCTGCCCCACACAGGTGTGCCGGGGCCAGCAGCTGGGCGCTGCGGCTTGCGGCAGGCGAGGAGACCAAGCAACAGGGCCCAGCAGGCCCGGGAGACGCAGAGCACTCAGCTTTCATAACCTTTCCTGGGGGTAAACTGAGTCACCAAGCCTGCTGGGCCTCGGAGGCGGGGTCAGCAACTGCCCAGGGACCGGAAAAACAACCCCCAGGGCGGAGGACGCCTCCTCCTGGCCACCTGCCCCCACCCTCGCCCCTCACTCACCTTGGCTGGGCGGGCCTCGGGGAGCCCATGGGCGGGATGGGCGGAACCGCGCTGGGGCAGCTTAGGCCCCGGCCATCTCCCCGGGCGGGGCTTCCAAGGGCTAGGCTGGAGGGTCCTCCGGGAGCAGGAGCTGTCAAGGGGAGCAAAGAGGTAGTGGGGCGCCGAGGAAGCTGCACCCCATTCCCAAAGCGGCGGTGTCTGGGAGAGCGGAGGAAACGACAGAACGACTCTGGCCCGGCCGCCCGGCGGGGGCATTGAGGGCGGGGCCCGAACCCCAGGAAGCTAGAGGGAGGGGCAGGGGTTGGGGGCTGCGACGGAAGAAGGGGCGCTGGCGGGTCGCGAGGGGAGCCCCGGGAAGGGCGCGTCCCGCCCCTGCCCCGCCCCCTCCCACGCGGGACCTTCTGCCGCGAGCCTCGGCGCGGCTGCTCTGGGACCCCGGCTCCCCGCCTGCGCGAGGCCTTGTGCGCCCAGAATTACTCCCCAGGAGCCCTTTCCGGCCGGACTGCTGACCCCACCCGCTCCGGGGTCACCTCCACCCTCCCCGGCCCCTTCCAGGCGCAGCTCGGCGAGGCCTGGAGAGACTCGGAGGTGCCCGCGGCAGGGAAGGCCCCCGCGCTGGTCCCGGGCTGGGCTGGGGGGGACCTGGATCCGGGCTCTTTGCCCCATCCTGGCGGGAGCGAGGAGAGGGGCGACGGCGGGAGCTGGGGGGATCCCCGGAGCTCGAGCACGGACCGGCAGCCAGGAGGGTCCCGTGTCCACCGCCCGGGCGACGCGGTCCCAAGCGGCCTGGCGCGGTGCTGGGGGGGCTGCCCCGGCCCCTCCCGCCCCGGGGGGCCAGTCCTTGGTTTCCTCCGTCCCGCGCGGGAGCATCGGGGGGCGCGGCGCCCGGCCCGGCGCTGTCCGCCGCGGAGCGGGCGCGCGGTGGTCCCCGGGGACGGCCCGCCCCCTGCGGCGCCCACCCCCGCCCCGGGCTCCGCGCCGCTCGCGCCCCGCCCGGCCCCGCACCTGGGGGTGACGCCCGCGGCCTCCCTCCGCCGGCCCGGCGGGCGCGCGTGGGTTCGGCGTCCGGCGCCCGCTCCTCGACCGCCCCGCGCCGCGCTGCCCTGTTTCCTGCTCCACAATACAGCGAGGGAGGCTCCGGCGCAGTGTGCGCTCGACTTCCTCCCGGCTGGGGCCGGGCTGCGCCTGCGAGAGACAATCCCCGGTGTCCGGGCTTCCTGTCCCCTCTGGGCCGGGCCGGCGCCCCAGGAGCAGAGACGCCACCCCCTCCCCGCGCACCTCCCGGGATCCCGGGCCGCACCTCGCTGTCTTCCGGGGGTGGAGGCGGCAGGACCAGGGGGGTAGGATGGGATGCGGTGGGGGGAGCAGGGGCCTCTTCGTCCCAATTTTGACCAGATTTCCCTCCCACCCCTCGAATCTTCTACCCCCACCCCACGACCCCTGCCGGCGAGGGGGCCGCCCTCCCAGGGGCTCACAGGCTGAGCCATCTCCTGGGGCTGGAGTCAGGACCTTGGGGTTACCTCTGCACCTCAGTTTTCTTTCCAGGAAACAGGACAGAAGCGCCCACTTTACAGGACTGTTGAGAAGATTAAAGTAGATGCATAGAGCACAGTATTTTGTTATCACGTCACTGTAAGTACACGCAATATACTCCTGATTATCACCACTTGTATTAGATGAGTCTTCCTCCTCCTTGGACGGGGCTGGGAACTCGGAAACCGCGTCCTCTGGGCAGCGGGGAGCAAGGGAACTAGCCCCTGGGAGGCACTTTGCGGAGGACAGAGGCACTTGGGCCAACAGCAGGCGGCACCCGGGTCGCGCCCCCGCCCTCAAACCTGCTTCATCTTGTCTTCTCTAAGCCCAGCACCGACTGCCCCTGAGGGAAGAGGGACCCTTGAGGGGAGCTGGGGCGCCTGGGATGGGTAGACGCTGCTCCCCGGTAGGCTGGAAGGACAGGAAACCGCAGACCTGAATGTCTGTTTCAGTCCCGTTTTCCTGCAGCCTAATTTCCCTGGGAATTGGTCTGTTTCCTTCTTCTGTCCGTACAATGGGCAGTGGTGGCTTCCCCTTGCAGGGGCCCCCAGGGCTTCTGGAACTACAAAGGAAGGTCAGCAGCTAAAGAAGGCCACTTTACGTACTAAAACTAGCCCCCCCCCCAACCAATGGCTCAAACCTAGCCCCTTCTCTCCTTGACAACTCTGAGCAAGTCTGGAGGTTGCCGTGTGGGTCTGGAATTGCAGGCATCCGCGTGGTGGCTGTGTAGGAAATGCATGTACAGACCTCCCCAAAGCCCCTGAAATCCCCGCCCGCAGGGGCCTCGGTTCCAGCAATCGTAGTGGTGGGGGACAGCCGACAGCCTTCCCCCTCTCCCTCGCCCACTCGGGCCCCTGTGGGGCGCCTGTTTACTCCCAGCCCTTCCCCCAAGCGCCCCCTGTGCCTAGGGACTGGCTAAAGGGAGGGGCCTTTTCAGATGGCGATGGAGACTCGGGGTTCCCCCACCCAATCAGCTGCATTAGGATTCAGAAGAGAGACCAGAGATTGCAAAGATCATATCTTTACTGTAAAATCTTTCAAAACTCACACGCAGCAGTTCCTCAGTACGTTGCAAAGCACTTCTCAGGGCCGGGCCCCTCACTAGAAATGGCTTATTGCATAAAATGACATTTAAAAATAGTGTGCGCCCTACTGAGGTTCCCATCAGCTTTCCATTGGAGGTGACGGGGGTAAAAATCAGCTCCTCTGAAAGCATCAGCAGCTTTTTGGTTTGGGAGAGGATCATCTCTAATGCTAATAAACCCCGGAGGGGCGGGAGACCCCACCCACAGACGCCAGCTCCTCCTCGGCACTTTCTGAAACACAGACTCCCAGGCCGAGGAAACACAGCTGGGCCCAGGCGGCCTGTCCTGGGCCGGACTCCTGCCCACTCGGGGTCTGGGGCACTTCTGGCCCAGCCAGGCTGCAGGGGAGCACTACTCCGGCCATGGTAGGGGGGAGGACAGGCAGGGTAAGGATCCACTTTCTGGTTTAGGAGCTTTGGTGTGCTGCGCACAGGTGTGCGCTGATTCCCCAAGGGGCCAGGAGCTGTGGCGCCCCCTCCCCGCCCACCTCCGCTATTCTATTGCACAATTTACCCGGTGCCACAGGGCTGGGCAGGTGACTCAGCAGCCCAATCACCCAAGGGAGAGGTGGGAGCAGGTTCGTCTGCTGACAGTGATGGGCGGTCTCCACCTGAGGGCCCCCAATCCCGGCTGAGTGCAGAAAGAAGACCCGAGGCCTGAGAGCCTGTTGGGCCCAGAAAGGCAGGGGAAGGCAGCAATTATGCCCAGGTTTCCCCTGAAGGGAGGCCCCAAGGGTCTCAACATCACCTTGAAAACCACTCTAGGCTCCCATCTCATCCCCAAAACCCCCATGCGCCGATGACATTTCCAGTGTCCCGCAGCACTCCTGACGGCAGCTCTGGGAACTCAGGCTTTGCAAACTGAGGCTCCACAGCCTACTGGGCAGCTCCTGCCGCATGTCCTTGTGATCTTGGCAGCAGGTCCACGCTCTTTACCAAGGGCAGCATCGCTGCTCCCCGTGGTGTGGCCAGACACTCACGGGCGGGGGGGTGTCTGGCCTGGCCTTCCTTCTTCCGGGCAGGTCAGTCAGGCAGCAGTACCCGCCCATCTGGATGCTCCTCTGTGGCAGAAGCCAGGAGAGCCCGGGCTGAGGGCAAGATGGTTGCCCTTCCCTGGACCAAGGAGGCTCCACATGCCTACAGAGCTGCTCCGAGTCCCCCCTTGTCCTTGCAGGGACCAGGTTCCGGGGGGGACTGTGGTACAGAGTGAGGTGGTGGGTTTCTCAGGAGCAGACGGGCAGGAGAGAGGTGGTCAGCGGAGGCCCCCCTGGCCCCCGGGTTTGGCACTGGGTGGCACCAAGCGCACGGGGAGTGCGGGCGGCCAGGGAGAGCAACAGGCACCAGCGTGGTGGCCACTGTCCCGGCACTGGCCAGCCTGCAGGTCAGGGCTTGGCTGTTGCCTCACTTTGCTAAGGGTGAGAATGCCTGGACTTCTGGGGAGACTTGTGCAGGGTCGAGAATAAAAAAATATTTTCTGTTGAAATATGAAGGGAAAAACCCACTTTAAAAAACTAGACCTTTTATCAGGAATGTGGAATTGAAAATGCGCCCAAGTCTTGTTTCCACAGTGTTTGAACAGCCCTAATGCAGGTATAGGCGAGGTGAGCAGGGCCTGACTAGCGCCCCTGCCCCCCCCCCCGCCCCCGCAGCAGATAGGGGTACAGGCATCATCCAGGGCCTCCTCCAGGGCTCTGGCTCTGGCCACACCGGGAGTCTTCCTGACAAGGGGGGACAGCTGGGACACCTCGAGAGTAGCCCGGCCTGATGGCCAGCCCAGCTGGGTGGCCGCGCTGAACCTGTGCCCCACTTCGGGGGGACAGGAGACCGGGGTTAGGTGAGAATGTTCTGTTCCTGGTATTTGCGCCGGCGGGCACAGCGGGGGCAGCCTTTCTTCACCACGGCCTGGCAGCTCTGGTGGAAGACGGTCTTGCATTCGCTACACCTGGGGAGAGGAGAGCTCTGCTGTGCCCTGGCGGGAGGTGCCTGGTCCAGCCAGCACCCACGGCGAGGCAACCCGGGGCTCCAGGCCCCTCCTCTCCGCTCCAAACGAGATTCTCGTGACACCGCACCCCTAAGTCACAGAGCAGAGGCTGGTGCTCTCTATCCTATTTGCTTTCTTATAAATGCTGCTGGAGACTCACTGAACTGCTGCCTATGCTGAGAACACTCAGCCCGAGGTCTGCTCGGGGGCTGAATCCGGGCCCGGAGACACCTCCTGAAAAGCAATGAGTGTGCCCAGCAGCTCAGTCTTCTGCTCCCATGTGGGTGGGAATGGAGGGTTGGTGGGTGAAAGTTTCCATTTAGAGGCTCCTCATCATGAGTGATAATAGGGAAAAGAAGGCTCAGACAGTAGCTTAGGCAGAGGCAGGCCCCACCCGAGGTGCCCACCTTGTGCCAGGCCTAGCGCCAGCAGCCCAGGACAGTAACAGCCTGTCCTTCCTCACCCCATTCTTAGATGACTATTGAGGCCCCAAGGCCCCACTCAGAGCTGGCAGCCTCCTCTGATCCGGGCAGGCAGATGGCTCAAGGAGGCAGGGGAGTCTTGGGGCTCACCTTGCCCTGAGATGGTCCCAGCTGCCAGGACCACCTTGCCACCCCATGTCACTGGCACAGAGAGGACATGCAGTATGTTCCCCCACGATGCCTCTGGGGCTGCCCCCCTGGAATGCTGGGGCCAGCTGGGGGCGGCTGGCCAGGGCCCCTCATACCTGACCGTGGTGTCAAACTCAAAGGGGAAGATGATGTCGTGATGGTGGCAGATCTGGCAGATGAAGCCGCGCTGGGTGCACAGGTCGCAATGGTAGACGTGCTGGGAGGCGAATTCGATCAGGGCCTTGAGGAATCCCTCATACGCCCCCTCTGCGATCTGTTGGGGCAAGTGCAGGTGCCAGGGGCCTTTAGGCAGCTGTGGGAGGCTGAGGCCACCACTGCTGCTCATGGCACCCTCCCCCAAGAAGTCCTAGAGAAGTTTCTTCCCACTTGGGCAGGAAAATGTCCCCGAATCCGGCTGAGCAACGCAGGTGCCCAGACCTTGTGCATGGAGGGTGCTGGGTTGTGGGCTCTGGATACCAACATCCGCTGCCCCTCCCTTGAAGACTGTCCCGAACTCTCATGCTGGGGGCCTTTCGTCCCTCTGCCCTCCTGGCACGGGATGGGTCCAGGTGCGGGGAACGGGCCAAGGAGGCCCTGAGGAGCATGGGCTTATTCCAGAAGGGTGGGGGCAGCGGGACAGCGGTCTGAGGTGCTGAAAAGCTTAAGACTGCAGAACCCCCTTCCCAAGTTGACCACCTCCCTCCCTCCTGATTTTTCTAGGAATGAGGTCCTTCTAGAGGCGTGGGGTTGACATTCTCACCTGCTGGAGGTCAGCCACACTGTATTTGTGGGGCGATTCCAAGAGGTAGTTCCTGTGCTTGAGCCTTCACAGAAAACACAAGAGCTTCCTTAGAAGGGTTTCCAGGGCAGGGGCCAACCCTGGCTTGTTTTCACTCCCTCAGCCCAGCTAACCAGACACGAGCTACTCGGGGGTCAGGGCGGGCCCAGAGCAGCCAGTGCCTGGGCAGGGCCTGGTCTTCCTGGCGACCAGCTGCAGGGACCTTGGGCAAGTTACTCTCAGGACGGCAGGTTTCCTCACCTGAGAAATGGAGCTGTTTCGAAGAATGAGTCATTTATTTAAAGCATTTGGCACAGAGCCCACTTAGCACACTGTAAACAATGAATAATTATCGACTGTTGTTGCTAACACTGTATTATATGTTTGAATTTATTGAAAGTAGAACTTGAATGTTAATGTTCTTGCCAAAAAATCTAAGAGATGAATGAATGAATGGAGGAGGGTGGTGGGGGTGTTAATTAAGCAGCTGGGAGGAATCCTTTTCCATGTACACAGCCATTAAATTATCACGATGATGGACACTTTAAATATCTTCCAATTTTGTCAATGATAAGAGCTCAATAAAGCTGAAGAAAATTAAAGTTATGAAAAAAATAAGTGTATATAAATAGTGATAAAGAGGAGGTTTAAAGTTAATACTTGGTACCAGGACTGGGCCAAGACCTTCACATATATTAACTTATTTTATCCTCATAATAATCCCGTGAGGTTGGTCCTCTTATAATCCCCATTTTGGAGAGGAAATGGAGGCACAGAGAAGTCAAGTAACTTGCCTGTGGTCACACAGTAAGGGGCAGAGATGACATTTGAAAGGAGGGGCCTGGTACCAGATCCCAAGTCCTTATCCACCCCGTGAAGGCCTACTGGCTGTTTAACTATTGCCACCATGACACCCCAGGGACAGTGCTGGAGACAGAAACACACAGGATGTGGCCTCTGCCTGAGTCCCTGGTCTAAAGCAGCTGGTTTCATTGCTACGTGAGAGGAACCGAGAGGCGTCCAAAGCATGCAGATCCCATTTCAGGGGGGAAGAGGGGAGGCAGGACAAGGACTGAACCGCCAACCCCACTCTAGTTTCCCTTTCACCAAAGGCACCCCAAGGGTTATTTAGTGGGGGATGGAAAGGAAACACCTGCAGAAATTCCCCTGGTAGATACATCTGCCTGGCCTGCTGTGTCTGTGTGGAAACTGGGAGTGGGGGAAGTTTATTCCAAGTCTCAGGAGGCTTGCAAACCTGCCCAGACATCTGGGGCGGGGGGGGGGGGCAGGTTGGTGCCAGGCCCTGGGGCATATGGAATGGGAGTTTGGCTATGCCCCACCCTATGGTCTCAGTTGTGGTCCAGGGAGAGCCCAATTCTGGGCAAAGATGGCAAGTCCCACCAAGTAGCCAGGCAGGCCATGTGAGGTGAGGATGCTGCTGACTGGTCACTCAGTCCACCAAACTGCTTTCCCCAGTAAACTTCCAGGTTTCAGGAAGTCACCATTTATCACCAGGAAAACACGTGTGTGTGTGTGTGTGTTTGTGTGTGTGTGTGTGTACGCATGTGCGCAGACTGGCCCTGAGTTGGCAGGAAGGGTGGGGCTGATATGGATGGAGAGTCATCTCTGTCATTTGCTCTCTGTCCAGTCATGGAAGCCCTTGGGCCAGCCCAGCGCAGGGCCTTCCCTGCAAGTCACTGTACCCTGGGCCTGTCACACTCTCAGTCAGGCCTTATAGCTGGTTTTTCCACATTTAGTTGAGGCCAGAGTGGAGAGGCTACTTCTCATCCTAGCCTCCAGGGGTGAAACCCACACCCCAGGCCTACTTTGGGCCTGCACAATGAGGAGACCCTCTCTGGCCTCTTCTAGCGTGAGGCTGAAGGAAGGCGGAGGAAGGGCCCAGAGGAACAGCAGGGCTCTCTGGAGGAGGGTGAAAGGTGAGGGGAGAGGCTGCCTCTAAATCTCTGTAACCAGTGAAGAGATGGGCAGAAAGGGCACTAGTGGGGGCTGGAGGATGTGGGTGCCAGCCCCATCCTGCGTGGGTATCTCTTCTGCCCCCTTCCCAGGCTGGCGGGAGAAGCACCTGAGGTGCAGTGGGCAGACCCTCCTGTGGGGGTACGGGAAGGCTCCACAAAGACCTGAGAGGACACCCTTGGCCTTGTCTGGCCCTTGGAGGCGTGTCCAGGCCTCCAGTCCCCCTTCTCGCAGAGGACCTGGCCAGGGGCTGCCACTAGCGAAGGGAACTTCACTTCTCCTCCCACATTCAAGATCTCTCCACTCCTCTCAGCCCTCCTCACCTACTCTGCGGTGGACTCTGTCCCAGCCTCCACGCCTCCCCAGACAGATCACTGCACCCTGCAGTGGATTACTACGCCCACTGCCGCCAATTCATCTCTCTAAACACTCCCCCGACCCCACCAAATCAGAACGTTCCAGTCCCACATGCAAAACTTTCAGTAGCTCCCACTGCTGGCAGAATAAGATCCAAATGTCTCTGCTGTGCCTCACAGCACCTTCCAGGGCAGGCCCTGCATCCACATTCCAGCTGCGCTGAGCCCCGCAAGGGTCCTGGCCAGCCCTGCTCCTGCCGGACATCACAAGTCCCCTGAGCCACCCATGCCAGGCCTCCCTTCTCTTCTCTTCAGTTATGTACTAAACCCCAGCTAACTGCGCACGTGATGCCACCACACTGAGCGGGGATGAGAATCCAAACTCTCTACTTCCTTCCCTTTTATACTGACTGTTGTCTATCTTTGTAAAGAAGAAGAGCTTATTATTATTTTTTTTAATGAAGAAAAGAAAACTCCTGGGCTCAGCTCAGATGCCACATCCTCCGGGAGCTTCCCTGGCCTCTGGGCCCTCCCTCTCAGCACATGCCACGCTGACTGGGGCCTTGTAGCTGTCTGAACCTCTCACGCATCCCTTAACTCAAGGCCACTTGAACGCAGGCATGATTGACCCAGTTATAGACAAGCTGAGGCCCAAGGAAGTGAAGCAACTTCCCCGAGTCACACAGAGGCCTGGGTGCTGGCAGATTTGCTCCCACAGCCACAGCCCTGATCCCTCAGAGCAGGTGTGCAGAGCTGCCCCCCAAGGATGGGACAGCGGATGACCAAACAATCTCAGCCAGACAGGGGGTGCGACCAGCATGGGACCTGCCCTGCAGGTACCTGTTCAACTCAGGTCTGCAGAGACCCTGGGCTGGTGGGGTGATGAGGTTCCACCTGACCCCAGACCCCAGAGACCTGGCTCCGGGAATCTCAGGAAGGATGGTGTGAGTGAAGACCAGGCGCCCAGCTGACGATCCAGGGGAGCAGAGTCTCCCAGGAGCAGTCTTCGAAGCTCCCGCAGTGAGCCAGAGGGTCACTGTCTGAATGTTGTCTATCTTTGTAAAGAAGTTGTTCCTGCAGGCCCCTCAGAGGAGGACCAAGGCTCGCATGGCTGCTGTGGGAGACCACGAGGAGCCAGCCTTTGCCCTTGACTGGAGAGAGCTCCGACAGCAGCCCCTGCCTTCTGAGCCCCAGGGGGACCCGCTCAGGGCATGCCCTTGCCCCTCCCCACCAGTCATGCCCCTAGGAGAAGGTAGCCAGGCCTGAGGAGGTGCAGCCTTTCAGACAGGAGGCCCCTGCACCAGCCTGGGGAGAGGAGTGGCAGCTGAAGGTCGGAAAGCACAGCCCCACAGCAGGTGTTACCCCCTCCGCCCCCTCACTGCTGAGCACTGAAGGTCCTGAGGACGCGGGTGCAGGGAAGCTTTAAGGGCATTCTGAGGGCCCCATACCACTCTCACGCTCCTGGAGGATTTGGGGAGAGAAGCTGCATGGACACTGCCGAGCAGCCTGGACAGAGAACTGGCTGGGGCGGAGGCCGGGCCCTGCAGCACCCGGTGGTCTGCTTGGCCTCCCAACCTTCCTCTCCCACTACCCCTCCCCACCTCCTCCTGCTGCAGCCAAAGTTCCCCAGGTGCCTTGGTGTCCCTGCCATGTGCATCACTTTCTTTCTGGAACACTCTTCCCTGCTTCTCCTGTCTACCACCTACTCCTTCTTCGCTGTCACCTTAGATGTCAGCTCCTCCAGGCAGTCTCCTGCCCCACCCGTGCTCCAACCTGGGTCAGACCACCCACCTCTGTCATCGAGGGCTCCCTGTGCTCTCTCAACCCTCACCCCTGGTCTAGCTGCTGGCTCTTATCTGCCTCCCCTTCGTGAGGGCATGGCTCAGGGTCTACTTTGCTAGGCCTTGTATTTCACAACCTAGCTGGGTGCTGAGCACTTGGTATGTTCTCAGCCCATATTGAGAATGAATGAATGAACAAATGAATACATAAATAAAGACACGTCACTCCCAAAGCATGTGACAATTCCCCAAGACTGCTGGGAAGGCGATCTCTGCCCAGTCTCGCGTCTCTCCCAAGAGGACGCCTGTGTGAGCAATAGGCGTGCGTGTGCCTGCATCCCGGGTGCTCACCTCTTGCTTAGCTCCTTCAGGGCTCCACTGCGGCACAGGCCCAGGTAGTCACCCAGGAGCTTCAGCTGCTCCCGGCTCCTTTCAATGTGGTGCATCCGCTCCACGTGCTCGTACAGAGACGCGTTCACCAGCTGCAGGTTGATGAGGGGCTGTGCCCGGATCTGCGTCAGGAACTTCAGGGCCTGGCGGCAAATCTGGGGACACCAGCAGGCGTTGGAGGTGGGAGAGGACCACCACTTGGCCAGTGCTCCTGGGCCAGGCACTGTATACCTACTCCCGGCCCCCTTCCCCTGGCAACCACCCTCCACGGGAGGTAGTGCTGTCTCCACTTTACAGATAAGGAAACTGAGGTTCTAAGAGATGAAGTGACTTGGCCAAGGTCCACAGCTCATAAAAGTCAAAACTCGAGCTGCTATTTTGACGCCCACCCAAACCTCTGCTCTGCCTCCATGGTACCAGCTGCTGGTCCTCCCGGACCATGCCTGGACTCCACGGGAGCAGAGGAGGGGATGCTCTGGTCAATGCCCCTCGACCCCCAGGCCTCCCAGGCCCTTCCCACCATTTCCTGTCCTCGCAGCCTCCACAGTCCAGCCCACAGGAAATAAGCACTGCCCCCTGGGCCCACTCAGGAACCAGGTGACTGGTCTGAGTCAGGTTCCCAGCACAGGAAGCCACAGATCAGACATGGCTTAACTCGAGATTTCCCAAGCTCCGCAGGTTTTGCCAGCAGCACCAACTGGGGTTCCCTCAAGTCTCTGTGCGGAGATGAGTGATCAGTCTCAGCCCCTCTCAATTGATAGGGCACTGGAGGTTCTACCCTTGACCCATACCTAACGCCAAATCCAATTACGAGCGCCTCCTGTTTGCCAGGTGCTGGGCTGAGGACCTTAACTACATCCTTTCTTCATCCTCCTAACAACTCAATGGGGAGTGTCCCATTTTATAGCTGAGGAAACTGAGGCCTAGAAAAGCTAATGTGGCTTATCCAACCCACCTGGAGAAAGCAGAGCCCAGGCCTAACTGAATGCTGTCTCCGAGCAGGCGGCTGCCATACTAATGGAGAAGCCCCTCTCCTGCAGTCTCCTTGTCTGACAAGGACGGACTAGCTGATGTTCTCCACTGGCCACTGCTGTGCAGTGGTCAGGGGTTGGGCTTTGGAGTCAGAACTGGATTTGAATCCTGGCTCCACCACTTCCTCACAGTGTGATCTTGTGACACTTACCCTCTTTGTGACTAGGTTCCCTTATCTGTGATAGGGGAAATAAAAGCACCTACCTCATGGGTATTTTGAGTATAGATAAATACACATGTAAGCTTCTGGCACGTAGTGGGCCCACTATTAAGTGGGGGCTGCCATCAGACTCCGTGCATGCCTGCTGGGCTCCACCGTCCCCTGGAGGGCCAGGGAATGTAACAGGGTCCTCAGGAGACTGTCACCTGGGGGCTGTGGAGGCCTCTGGCCTGTCTCCCAGATCCACTAGGAGGAGGACTCCTGTTCCCACCTACCAGAGTACCGAGGTGCCAGCCCCAGCTGTGGGGGGCCCAGTGGCAAAGCCTGTCTGACTCGGGTCAAATTGCCCTTCCCCAGACTCAGCTTGAGGCCTAGAGTGAGGTGCATGGGAAAGGGCACAGAGGAATGGGCTGGAGACTGCCAAGCACTGCAGATGGGCAGGGGCCCCGTGCTCCACAGGGACTGTTTCTGTCCCATGCGCGTGGAGACAAAGAAAGAAGTCCTGTCCTGGGCTGACATCCTGCCGGGTGGCAGGCAGGCCTGGCATAAGCAGGTCTGCCAGGGTGGTGACAGTGAACAACAGGGCCCCAAACCTGAGAGCTGACCACTTTCTAGCTTGATTTTTTCTTTCTCAGAGAGCTGGATTGTTTCCTGAGCTCAGATATGCTTAGGGAAGTGTTGTCATTTTCTAGTTGGAAAAAGGAAGTGGCACAAGGATTACAGCTAGGAACAAGGAGACATTCCACAGATGAGGCTGGATCTTGTAAATACTGAGTGTATTTTATAGCCATAGGGTTCTTTGCATTTGTGGTGATTTTGAGGTTTAATTTTCTCTGTGTAGTAAAATACTTAACACCGAGGGCAGGGGTGGGGATGAGGTAATCAACCAAAAAGCCAAAGTGAAGCTGACACCTTTGGGGGTTCCTGAGAGGGGTGGGGTTGAGAATCTGCTCCCTGTGCTGGGAGGGGGAGGACACACCCCCATGTTAAGAGTGCGAGGAGGCTAGCAGGCCCTGCGTCTTGAGAGAAGCAAGCAGCTTCTTCTTTGGGTTTCTGCGCCTCAGCAGAGGTCTTTGCTTTCGAGAGAAAGCCAAGTTTGTGTGCCTTGAGGCAAACCCTGACCAAGCCGGTTGGGGGCAGAAGGTGTGACAGGTCTTGAGAGAGGGAAAGAGAATAATATAAAGCACTGGGTGGTCAGTGGCTACTGTCTTGTTTAGTCCTCACGCGACCCTGAGACAGATGCTATGAATCCCCCTTTACAGACAAGGAGGCCAAAGTCAGGTAATTTGCTTGTGGTAACACAATTAGATACGTGGCTAAGCTCAACTGGGGAAGAAGAAAAAGATCTTAAAATACATCTTAATCAAAAGCATTTGGTGAACATAAAAAAGTATCTGATGTCTATATAAGTGAACGAAGCATGTTATAAAGCACTACGAGTTCAGGATAATTCCAGCTTTCCAAAAATTAGTGTAAGTAAATAAAGGCACAGAAAGGGGTAATACTCCACCGGAAGTGCAGTCAGCTGGTGAGCCTGCCCAGCCACCACATCCATCCACCCCCCGCCAGCCATCCCCCACCCTCTGTGCCGCTACCCACTCACCTGCATCCATTCAGCCACTCATCCATCTACTCATCCATCCTGTATCCAGTTATCCTTCCTATCATACTATCATACCTCTCTAGTTGCTGATGCCTTCAACAACTTTGTCCTTGGCCACAGGGAACTAGAGAGAATCTGCTGTAGATTCCCACCTGAGGTCTAAGGCAGGTATTGACAGAGCTCTGTCCAGGGCCTCGTTTTCCTCCTGGTCTGCACCACGGGGCCCGAACCAGTGACACTGGCTTTCCTGGAGCCAAACTCCTCCAAACAGGTGGCCAGAGGCAGCAGAGCTGTGGCCACCCTGTCACTCAGGAGCCCGCCATGACGCGACAGGCTGCACGTGAGACTTACTGGGCGCTTGGTGAGGTCCCAGTTGTGGATGATCCTGGCTGGAATCACTGAGGCATCGTCTTGGTGGCAGATGTCACAGTAATAGAGGCCAGAGAAGGCACAGAGCTTAGGGCGTACAAATGAAAAGCCGATCTGCCGGGAGCAGCCTGGGGAGCAGAAGGGGGAGAGTCAGCAACTTGGGGCCAGTCAGCTCCTGCTTAACACAGAGGCCAGAGTGGCGCAAAGAGGCCAGCTATTTCAGGAAAGTATAAAGAGTACAAAGATAAAAACAACCATCGCTCATATTTCCAACACTCAAAATCAATCCTATTAATTAATCTTTACAACAAGAGCTATAAAAATTATTGCCATTTTACAGCTGATGAAATTGTAGCAGAGTGGTCAGGAAAGCGGCCAAGTCATACAGCGATTAAGTGGCACAGCTGAGATTCAGATCTGGGCTGGGCTGGTTCTAGAGGCCGGGTTCTCTCCTAGCTAGCTGCCCTTGGTCAGTGCTCGCTGCCTGCTCACTGATGCCAGCCTCCTCTAGGTCCACTCCTCCACTGGGGCCCAGAAATGGAAGCAACTCAGGGCCTCGGCAAGCAGAGGCAGGGGCATGGACAGCTACTGGGGCCAGGGGTAATCAGGTGGTAACCAATGTCCAGGCAGTCTGGATATTGCCTGGTGCCAGCTTGAAGACAGAGCTGCCTGATACCTCTGGACAGTGGTGCAGGGTCTAGCTCGTCCTCTGCTGGACCTCCCTCCATGGTGAGGGACAGTGGGAATGGGGTGTGCCCACAGCAGAGCAAAGGGCTGGCTCAAATTCTGTGCACAGACCCTGCCTCCCACAGGGCCAGGGGAAAGAGTCCCTTGGGCCTTGAAGGGTTGGTTCTTCTGCCTACCAGCCTCATCCTGACCTTCACTGAACTTTTCCAAGGTTCCATTCTGGCATCTGTAAACTTCAGCAATTACTTGCTATGCTGTGGGTTTATTACAAGCTTTAATGCTACAAGATTTGAAAGTGCCCTGTAAACTATGACATACAAATGGTGTCTGCTGTGTGCCTGGCTACTGAGCTGCGCTTGCAGGTGGAGAGAGCTCCCTCCCTCATTTCACAGCCTTCCTGGCAGACAGGCGGGTAGCTGGCATGGGGAGAGTTGTCCCCCCAGCATTCACACACCCAAGGCCTGTGATCCTGGCCTCCTGCCTGAGCCTGGCACCCATAGGCTGGCTGTGAATGTTAGGGGCTAACATGAGTAGTGGCCTGAAGATGTTTTCTGCAGGAAGCTCTGCTCTGCCCACTTCTCCTGTGCTCCAGGGGCACTACCGCAGACCACTTCCTTTCAGACGATGAAGCATGCTTTCCCCCCTCGTCCCACAGCTCCACCCCGAGAGACTAGCTCCTAAGCCACGGCTCAGCCTGCAGCTTGCTTGGCACTCTGCAGCAGGGTGACCTCTTCACAGTTCAACCTGATGGCTCGAGGGGTTGTTAAGGGGGTCAGGTTTGGGGAGAAGAGCTAAAAATGGAAGGTGAACAGTGGGGTATCATGCAGCCCTGAAAAGTGAGTGTGTGGACAGGCTAATGGGGACTGGGCTACCATAGCTTCTTGGGTTTGCCCATTAAGATCCTTGTGCTGGCTCTGTTGTGAACCTGGGAAAAGGTACTTTACCAGCCCGAGACTCAGTTTCCTCAGCGACCAACAGAGGTAATCGTATAGGACTCTTGTGAAGACTGACTCAAACAATCCAAATAAAGCCTCTGGCACAGTGCCCGGTGCAGAAGAATTAGATCTGATGATGATCATGAAATGATCAGCAGATGTCCTAACTTGGAATAATAGCTGCAATGTATCATTAAGTAGAAAAAACCATGTCATGGAGCAATGTACCCATTTAAACACGCTAAATTTAAATAAAATCGAAAACTCAGCTCCTTAGTTATACTGGCCACATTTTAAATATCTGTAACCACACGCTCTTTGCAGCTATGTGTCAGCACAAATCTGTAAGGTTTTCATGACCACAAAGAGTTCTATTGGACATTTACCAAGTATGGGACCATTTCTGTAGTTTCAAAAAACTGTGTGCACTTGCAAAGACATGCAAAAATACCTGGAAGGGCACTGTGCCCCTGCTCCCAGAGAATATATGGTCAACAACAACAAAGGGGTGGAGGCCTGAGCTTCCTGAGCAGAGGCAGCAGGCAACTGCGCTGCCACCCACGGGTGCCCCCTCAGCAGGGGACAGCAGGAGGGGGAAGGGCGGGGGGGTCCCACAAGCAGGGGTGCTGGCCCCAGTCGGTGCTGGGGAGGAGCAGAGCCTCATTTGCTGTACTACCACCTGGGGTGGGACAGGGGCACTCCTGGAGAGGCAGGAAGGGATGGAGAGCCAAAACCAGGGCCCCCCTGGAGGCCGAGTGTGGCCGGCAGGCCAAATGGCAGGACAGCAAGTCCGCACCTGCGCAGAAGCAGCCCTGGGAGTCGAGGCCTTTCTCTATGGGGATGGCCACCAGGTACTGCAGCAGGAAGCCGTTCTCCCGTGTGGCAAACTTCAGCACCTCCTGACAGTTCTCATCCAGACTCCCACCGAGTGTCACGGCCTCCTCGGCCGCCTCCAAGTAGGACGCCAGGACCGTGCGCACCAGGTCCCTCCACAGGGCGGCCTCCTCAGCACTCCTGGCCTGCAGCTTGAGGGTGGCCTTGGCTGTGATGATCTTGAAGAAGGAAGGGCCCCCGAGGCTCGAGTCTGGCAGGATATCTCGGATGGTCTCAATTCCATGGCTGTCACTTAACAGCTTCTCATTGTTTCTCACGCGGAAGCATTTCAGGGACTCTAAGGTCAGGGAAAAGATATAGGGCACCCAGGTCCTATCTGTGTACAGGTACAGAAGGGACTCCTTAATAGCATCTGGCTCGGGAACGTGGGCAGAGGACCAATCGAACGTTGGGCCCTGGACGGTCTCTGGCTCTGACAGCAGGTCTGAGTGGGAGGGAGGGCCACCCTGGGGAGCTTCTGAGAGCTCCTCAGGCTGGTCTGGGTACTGGATGTTCACCCACTCGTCGTCCTGCTGGGGCCGGCACTTCTGCAGGGCCTCCCGCACCCGGTCCAGCCAGTCCTCCGCTTCGTCCTGGGAGGAGGCACGCAGCATCAGCTTCTTGCCCGAGAAGACCAGCTCGAAGCGGCCGTCACTGTGGGCCGGCCCCACAGACTCACAGCGCAGCAGGGAGCAGTTCTCCACACAGGTGCGCTCCTCGTTGCTCAGGTAGAGGCGGAACTCCAGTGGAGACAGCTCGCAGAAGAGTTCCTTCCAGATGCCCACTGGGCCTCGCCGCTCTACCGTGCCCAGCTTCATGAGACCCCGGAAGGGGTTGGACAGTCCTGGAGGCAGAAGGAGGCAATTTAGACAATGGGCCTGCCCCTTCACCAGCCAAGAAAACCCCCAGAGGCTGAGGTCCGGTAGTGGGTGTGGGGCCGGGTGGGAATGTCCCTGCCTCACCCTGAGCTGTTGACCTTCCTCCTGAATACCTCTGAGAAAACAAAAGCTCTCAAAAGACTACCTCCACATGCCCCTCACCGCACCTCACCTTTCCAGCATCTGTACCCACACTCAGAACCCCTGCTGTCAGCAGGGATGAACACACCTCCCCCACCCGCCTACTCCGGGACAAGGGTGCCTCCCCAGCCTTTCTCCCTCCTTCTACCAGTCCCTGCTTTCCCCCTGCTTTACTGGCTCACTCCCAGCAGCACACAAACTCACAGTTATATTGCCCATCTTTAAAAACACCTCTGGACTCCATCACACCTCTAACTGCTGCCTTGTTTCTCTGTTCCCTTTCCAGAGAGAGACACCCCTGGGGGCACGGGGGACCAGAAATGTCTCTAGCTGCCCTGCTCCCATCCCTTCTTGAACCTGCTCCGATCAGGCCTTGTCTCCTTGTGCCACTGAAACAGTGTCTAGGAAGGGCCTCCTGGTCTCTAAACCTCAGGCCATCAGCATCACTGGCCTGAGCTGAGCCTTCCTTCCCTGGCCTGGCTCCCCATCTTGCCTTCCCCACCCCCACTGGCCACTCCTCTGTCTCTGGGGCACTCGCCTCCTACCTCATTGACCTCTCACTGGTGCACCCAGGGCGCAGTCCGGGGACTTCTCCATCCACACCCACTTCCCAGCTGATCTTACCTGCACTTGGGGCTTGATGCCAATAACTCTCAAATTTCTACCTGCAGCCTTGAACTTCAGATTCAGATCACTACCTGCTCCATATACATCTCACAGACTCCTCAAAGGTAAAAAATGGGTTCCCGATTCTCCCATTCCCAATTCCCACTCTTCTCCCAATGTGCCTCATCTCATAAAATGGCAAACTGCATCCATCCAGCTGCTTGGGTCACCATCCTGGGAGCCCCCCTTCTTTCACACCCCTATCTAATCACCAGCACATTCTGTTGGCATCCCCAGATTCTCACCACCACCTCACATTCCAATCTACCATCAGCCCTGGCCAGATTATGGCAACCTCCTAAAGGAACCCTCTGCCCCTGGGCCAGAACGACCCACTTAAAAGAAGGCAGATCACGTCTCTGCTCAAACCTGCAGTGGCTGCTGGCTCCCTCGCAGTAAAAGCCAAAGTCCCCTGTTGGCCCAGTAGGCCTCCATCACTCTGACCTTATCCCTCACCACCCCCATTTCAATCGCCTCTGCTCCAGCCTCTACTGTTCCCTACATACGTCAAGTATGTTCCTGTTACAGGGAAAGAATGTACACCCTGTCTGATTCTTGCTCCCCACGGCAGTTACTACCACCACCCACACTAGACGTTCACTTGTTTCTCGTTTTCTGCCCCCTGCACTAGAGTATAAATCCCATAAAGACATGGACATGCAGTTTGCAGCACCGAGAAATGCCTGGCATGCCACAGGTGCTCAGGACATGTTTGCTGAGTACGTACGTGCATGTGTATACACGCTGCTTGATACTGCCATGAGTCCAAAAGACACACGATTGTCTTCTCCATGCCGGGACCAGCCCGGGAGACATCAAGCCCTTGTACAGTGTCTCCCTACCCTCCAGGAACCTGTTGGCCTAGGTACAAAGTGCCCCTTCCCTGGCCTGGTTACAGCCATCATGCGGCCGCGGGAAGAGCCTAAGAGAAAGCAGCATGGAGACCAGGGCTCTACCCACATTCCCCACGCCAGGCCCCCAGGGACCTGGTCAAATTCTTTGCTGCATCACTGCAATCAGCAGAGGAGAGCCACTCGAGGGCATGCTTTTTTTGTTTGTTTGTTCATCTGTTTTTGAAGGTTACAGAAAATTGAGGTGATGGTTCCTGAATTTCACTGGGTGTGGAGACAAGGCTGGCCTCACTGTGAACAGCACACAGAGGACGCTGAGCAGAGCAGACCTGGTAGGCCCCACAGAGGTGTTACATAAACCACCTGAGATAAAGGCCTTGGGAAGGAGCTGCAGAAAGACCTGGGGCTGGGAGGCACAGTTTGCGCTGGGCTACAGACAGAAACGAGAGTTCTGCATAATCACAGGAATCAGAGGATCATTTCAGGGAAAATAGCTTCCACTTCAATATGTGCACGGTATTTTTGTACTCTGTAGGTAGTCTTGAGTATGATTTAATTAAGATTTTATGAGCGTTCCTGAAACGCTCTCCTGTATTTCTCAGGAAAAGTGTTCCTATTTTACATATTGGAATGAGGTTTTTCTTGAGGGAAGATACCTCTGGGCTGGGAATGGAGAACAGGGTCTTGCAGCTGCTTTCTCCAGAGCCACGTCCCAGCCCAGAGAAGCCACCCGGGCCCACAGAGGCACCTACCCATCTGCCTGCGGTGCACCACCCAGAAGTTCTTATGTTCCTGGGCCGTGGCAGTGGCCTGGCTTTTCCTGGGTCCCGGGGAAGGCATGCAAGCTTTGTCTAAGGCCCCCATGGAGTAGCTTTTTCTTGGTCCTTGAGAAAAATGCCTGCGGAGACCGGGCCTTGTCTCTGGGGTCCCTCTGGAGGAGTCTAGAGAGTTATCTGGAGGACTTTCCACTGGCTGCTCTTGGGGAGGCCGATAGAAGTCATCTTCTGAGATCCAGCTCTTGCTTTTCTATTGCAAAAAAAGTAAAGACGCAGATTGTTTTTTCCAAACCCCTTTGTGGAGAAGAGAGTCACATACCATAAAGTTAACCCATTTAAAGTGTACAATTCAGTAGTTTGTATATTCAGAGTGGAACAACCATCCCATCATCACTCCAAAAAGAAACACACCCACTAGCGGTCACTCCCTACTTCCCCCCAGTCATTCCAGTTTTAGGCAACCAACAATCTGCTGCTTCAAGGCAATGCCTGTGTTGGATATTTTGTATAAACGAATCTTACCCTGCCACACAGACTTTGTAACTAGCTTCTTTTCCTCAGCATAGTTTTCAAGGTAGGTTCACCTGCGTTGTGGTTTGCATCTGTACTTTGTTCCTTTTTATTACTAAGTAATGTTTCCATGTATATGAATATATCCAATGTCCTGATAGGTGATTGCTCGTCTTGGCTATTATGAATAGTGCTGCTGTGAACACTCATGTACAAAGTTTTGTGTGAACTTGTTTTGTATTCTCTTGGGTACATGGCTAGGAGTGGAATTGATGGATCATGTGGTAATTATGTCTAACTCTCTGAGGAAGTCCCAAACTGTTTTTCTAAGTGGCTGTATCATTTTATATTCCCACCAGCCACACATGGGGGGTTGCAATGTCTCCCAAATTCAATCTTTATTATTACAGTTGGCCCTCCAAATCCATGAGTTCTGCAAAAGCAGATTCAACCAACCATGGATTGAAAATAGGCCCACGATGGTTGTGTCTATACTAAACACACAGACTTTCTTCCTTGTCATTAATCCCTAAACAACACAGCACAACAATTATTTATGTAGTACATAGACTGTGTTCGGTGTGATAAGTAATCTACAGATGATTTAAAGTGCATGGGAGGGGTGTGCTATAGCTTACAGGTAAACACTAAACCATTTTAGATGTGGGACTTGAACACCCTTGGATTTTGGTATTTAGGGGGGTCCTGGAACCAACCCCCAACGCATGCCAAGGAACAGCTGTATGTGGATGATTTTTGTCCATTACAGATGTTTCTGGTGGGTCTGAAGCACTCTTGTGAGTTTGACATGCATCTCCCCAATGTCTAATGCACTGAGTACTTTTCCATATTTTCTTTGGAGAAATGCCTATTTCAGTCCTTTACCCATTTTGGAATTGGCTCCCTTATTCTGTTTGTTCTCATGTTGTGTTATGGGTTGAATTGCATCCCCCAAAAGGTATAGTGATATTCTAACTCCCAGCACCTCAGAGTGTGACTATTTGTTGCATATTAATTAGTCAATGTGGGATCACAGTGGGGTAGGGCAGCCACTTCATCCAAAATGGCTGATGTCCTTACCAGGAAGGAGAAGACATGTATAGAGGGAGACAGACACACAAAGGGAGGAGACCCATGAGGATGGAGCAACAGATGGATGCACGTGTATGCCCAGATGCCAAGGGCAGTTAGCAATGTCAGAAGCTAAGCGAGGCACGGAACAGATTCCTCCTCAGAATCTGCCAAAGGAATGGACCCTGCCAACATCTGGATTTTGGAGTTAGCCTTCAGAATGAGTAGGAACTACATCTCTGTTGTTTTAAGTCATCCAATTTATAGTACTTTCTTACAGAAGCCCCAGGAAACTGATTCAGCTTGTTAGGGTCCTTTACATATTCCAGACAGTACTTACCAGGTACCTGAGCTGCAAACAGTTTTTCCAATTCTGTGGGCTGTCTTTGATGCGCTCTTTGGAAGCACAGCCATTTTAAATTTTGATGAAGTTCAACTTTTCTATTTTTTCTTTTGTCTCTGTGCTATTGGTGAAGTAGATCTAAGAAACCATTACCTCAGCCAAAGTAAAAAATACTTAATCCTCTCAGCTCTTACATTGTAAGTTTATGACCTATTTTGAGTTAAGGGGCCGTCTTTATTCTTCTGCAGGTGGATTTCTAGTTGTCTCAGCACCACTTGTGAAAGGGATGTAGGGTGCTCTGGCCCTGCTTGTAGGGTTTGAGGGAGGCATGGATGCGCAGGACCCAGAGCTCCCGGGGAGCCTGGCCTGCTCCTCCCCTTCTGTTGCCGTCTGAGTCTGCAATTGCTCACTGGCTGGGGGATGCGGGGCTTGTGGGAATGGATTCTAGCTCCTTTACCCTACTATTTCAAGCCCTCCCTGCTTTTCTGTGTTTAAATGTGCAAGAGCAGAGGCAAGGAAACTGGCTGGGCCACCCCAGTGGCTGTCTACACAGAGGAAATGAGTCACATAAGGGCTGGGAACAGCACAGCTGTTCTGTTAAGTGCCACTAACCTCACCCTCATGTTGCTGTTTCCAACCCCTACATCAAGACTGCCCTCCCAGCTCCCATAGTTGGGGAAGGGGGGCAGGGCTGGGGCTGGCCCAGATGGAGTGGTTAAGTTCTGAGTCAGGCATTGGGGAGCCTCACAGTGTTGGTACTTGACAGCTTCCTCTGAAGGGCCCTCGGAATTGGCAGGTGCCTCCTCCGGCCAGTGACAGGACAATGTGTCAGTCAGGGTGGCTATTGATCACCACTTACATCACTCCATTCTGAACAAGGCCTTCTGAGGTCATGGAGACCCAGGGGAATTCCCAAGAAAAATGGGCCTGAGGAGCAAGTCCCCAGCAACTGTGAGGCTGTCCATGCAGTCTCACGGGGGCCAGGCACATACCTGGAATATCCCGTGACCTCCCAGCCCTGGTAATAGCCCTGAGACTCAGCTTTTGTCATTCACCCCCACCTTCCATCCCTCCCACCCCCAGTGGGGCAGGCACCCTCCCAGGCTCCGTGGCCTTCTGTGCTTACCCCCATCCTAGAACCTGCAAAGCTGGTTAGATGATTATTTTCCTTTGTGCCTGGCAGAGTTACAGAAGATGAGGGAATAAATCTTGATTATCCAAATGTCTTTAACATAAAGTAACAAGGGTAGAGTGAGGGAACTGCAATGAAGGAGACAAATGTGAATCCTGTGAAGACGTGTGTTTACCGGTGAGGACACCGCTCTGCCTGGAGAAGAGGGGTCACGAGAGAAGCCCCGATGCAGCCACTGGGAAACAGACTCTAGGAAAACCTTTTGTTCTCTTAAGCAATAGAGAAAAACAGAGGGAACACCAGGCCCTTGGGGCTTCTGCACACAGGCCTGTTCAGAGCCCTGTGCTCTGCCCCCCACCAGGGATAAAGGGGAGAGGGAGCACACTGTCTCCCTCTTACTCCTTTCCAATACCTGCTCACACCAGGTACCACATCTGGCCTGCATCCTGCTCCTTTAACAGTGGCACTGTTAAAACCACTACTGGCCAGGGCTCTAAGCCACAGCAACACCTGCCACCAGGGACCCAAGACAGAGAAGTGCCACCTTGAGTTGTGAAAGGTGTCAGGTCACCGTACACAGCTAAACCTCAGGGAGGAGTACGCTGAGGAGTGAGACATGAGGTTTGTGCACCACTTTCAAAAGAGCACATTCTGTCTAGTCTGTCCTCACCATGTCAAGCACGGGGACTGCCTGGGAAATCCCTCTACCTGGGAGGGGAACCACATGCCATCCACTGGGAGTTAAACTGAAACCCCACTCACAACCACCCAGATGCCACAAATATGAAGTCACTCCAGAAACTTTTCCTTCCCAGCACTTATTACAAGTGTAATTATGATGAGGACAAATATTTTCCTAAAGAGCAGAGGCCTTGCCTGCCCTGTTCCACTGCGGAATCAGAGATGGGCATATTCACAGCAGCTGTCTTCACAACAGCCAAAACCTGGAGATAACACAAATGGCCATGAACAGAAGAATGGATAGACACATTGTGATGTTTTCTTATAATGGAGTACTAAAGAAGAGTGAGAAAGAACTACAGCCTCACGCCATATATGGAGATAGAGATAGAGATATAGAGATGAAGCTCACGGTCACAGCATTCAGTGACAGACGCCAGACGTAAAAGAACACAAACTGGATACGACCCTGAGTGTTCCTGAGCGGCTGCCCTCCCTCCCCCCATGGCGGGGGCAGACATCACACACAGACCTTCCCTACCAACCCTCAAGAAAAGTCAGTAACTTTGGGAAATGCCAAGCGCTGCATAAGAACAAATGTGTCAAGGCCCAAGAGCTTGCTTCATGGCTTGACTACAGCATCCCTGAGCCAAGAGTCCTGGCTCCCTCCAGGAGTTTCCCAGGGCTGACGACCCCTGCCCCCTGCGTTATCAACAGACTGGACTGGTTTATTCCAGAACAGCGCTGTCCAACAGAAACATATTGTGAGGCACAGATGTCATTTTAAAATGTCCTAGTAGCCATGTTTTTAAAACATCAAAAGAAACGTGAAATTAATTTTAGTCATATATTTTCTGTAGCTCAACATATCTAAAATATTACCACTTTCCTCTTAATAGGTGAACAATCAAAAAGTGATTAGTGAAATATTTTACTTTTTTTAATACTAAACCTTCAAACTCTTTCACGCAGCCTATCTCACTTTGGACTGGCCTCATTTTAAGTGCTCGAGGGCCACATATGGCTGATGGCCGCCCTAGGAACAGCGCAGTCCTAAACCTGGTTCATGGCTGCAAAGTGAACATATCATCTCCTGACATTTAGGAAAGAGCAGTTTAATATTAACCCGTGCTAAGAGGGAAATCAAGACTCAGTGAGGTAAGTGCTTTGCCCAAGTCTTCTGCTAGAAAGTGGGAGTGGTTAGGAGTTGAGAGTCCGTGATCAGATGAGACTTAGCTTCTCCAACAGGGTCAATGTGAAGTTGACAGGCCCATGGGAAGTGGTTGATCCTATCCACTCCTTACACACCAAGTAACATTTGTCCCATTGCCATGATGCTACGAATACCAACACCATGTAGAAGAGGGGCGCTAATGGGAAGATGGTAATAGAGACCACTTGAGGTCATTAGCTGGGGAAACTGCACCAGCTCCAGGACATTTCACCAAGACCGCTCCCCAAACAGCTCGCATCACTCACCGCACTTGTGGGTGATGGAACCCCAAGGCTCTGGCCAGCTCTGTCGTCCTCCAGGGGCTTCTGCTGGCTACTTCTCTGGCCAACTGCTCTGGAGGTCTCTCTCACAGGACTAGGAGGCTGCTGGCCTGAAGTGCTCCTGGAAGGAAGAGTTAGGGCCGTGCCCAGTGGCTTCGAGCCCAGGGTGCCAAGTGCCTGGAAGAGTGGCTCCTGCTTGGGGCCACCATCTGGAGTCCCAGTGGAGGCCTGGGCAGGGAGGGGCTCTGCAGGCACATCAAAGTGCAGGCATGTGCTGGTGTCCTCGTGGCGGGGGAAGAGCGAGACCTGCAGGGTGGGAGTCTCCACTTCTCGGCTCAGTCCGTTGGTTGGCACAGAGTTTACCTGGGCTTTGCTGAATTCCGACAACACCCTAGAAGTTTTTAAACAAAGAAACCTGTGAGACAGGTTGGGTTTTTAGCTAGAATGCCTCAGGGTACTGGGGCAGTGTTAAGAATAGAAGACTGTTTTGTGATTTTTAAGAAACAAAACAAACACCATGCTCTTAATCACCCACGGCACTCCACAGCTCCCACACAGCTCTCCTCCGTCAACACTCCCCACCAAGGACTCTCCCCAGTCCAGACTTGGGCAGACTGGCTGGGCAGGTGAGTCGTGGAGGCCAGGATCTTAGGTGAAAAAGCTCATAAAAAAGAGAAAAGGGATTTAGTGCGAACAGGAACTCCACCTTTTACCTTCTAAACAGGCTAACTGTGGATCTGGAGTTTGCTCAATCACACAAATGGTTGTGTGGGCAATCATCTCCCCAGGCCGGCTGCAGCAGAGTCCTGGTGAACTGGGCTGGGCTCCACATCAGCTCAAGCAGCTCAGGCACCAAGACTCTGTACCCTGCAACATGGGACATGTTTAGCTGACATGAGGTCCTACTTTGTTCTTCAACAGTAACTGAGCAGAGGGTTGGGGTGGGGTGCAAGGTCTGATCTACTCCAGAGCTTGACTGGGTGTCAGAGATGCTTCTTGTTCGCAGAAATTGCTGCTGGAGGTCAGTGTACACAAAAAGGACAAGTGTGTACACAAGTATGGGGGGACCTAGGGTGCCCCTGCTCACTCCTCCCAAGGGGCCTCACACTTCCTATATTTCAGTGGTGCTTCTGGGGCCACAGGGAATCAATGTTACTGACTGTGTACATACACACGCACACACTCAAGCACAAAAACATACTTCTAGGCCTTCTGGAATGTGCACTAGCCAGTGGTTGCTCCTCCCTCTCCTGAGGCTTCATGAGACTCCACATTCTGTTTCTGAAGTAAAGCTATTTGCTGTCTCCGCCTATGTTTATGAACCCAATGGAGCAGGTCACAGAAAAATGGAGGTTCAGAAGGCAACAAAGCTATCTAGAGTGCAAAGGTTGCACACCACTGCCCTAGTGGCTGAGACTGGATCCAGAAGACACATCAAACCCCCACTCAATGTAGGCTTAGGGACAGGAGGATTCTGGGATTCCAGTTTTATCTGACTGTCTTCTAGCTGAGCTCTGCTCTTACATCATAACCCTGGACAACATTCTAAGACATTTTCGTGAAGAGTAGGCTACCAACCCATACATTCATGAGGAAAGAATAATCTTTTTAACAAATGACACAGGGATAAATGAGAAGTCCCATGTAAAAGAATGAAGTTGGACCCTATCTCATACCATATACAAGTTAGTCCAAAGACCTAAATGTAAGAGCTAAAACTATAAAACACTTAAAAGAAAACAGGTGTAAATCTCCTAATCTTTGGATTAGGTGATGATTTCTCAAATATGACATTTTAGGCATAATCAAACAATAAATTGAATAAATTAAAAATTTTTATGCTTGAAGAGAATACTGTCAAGAAAGTGAAAAGACGGATTAAGAAAATATTTGCATATTTCATTATTTTGTATATCTTACATGCAAATATTATATAGTGATAAAGTTATAATATCTAGAAAATATAAAGAGCTCTTACAGGTCAATAGTAAAAAGGCAAATATCCCAATTTTAAAATGGGCAGAGGATTTGCACAGACATTACTCCAAAGACACACAAATAGCTGATAACCACATGAAAAGATGCTCAACATCATTAGCAGTTGTGAATGCAAATCAAAACCACAAAAGAGGGCCTCCCCTGGTGGCACAGCATTTGAGTGCTGGGCTGCGAGCTGCCGGTACCCTCTGCAGCACCGGTTAGATCGCCGACCCCGGGCAGGGGTTCCACATAGTGTGGCAGACCTCTCCTGCCATGCCCACTGCTCCCCTCAGCAGTGTATTTCATCAGTCTGCCTGTTCTGTTCCCCGCTCTGGCTCTGGTGAATTCTCTCACCCTCCTGCACTTTTTTTTTTTAAAGATATTTATTTATTTATTTACTTATTTATACAAGCACTGGGTACAGCCAGAAGCGCAGGAGGGTGAGAGAATTCACCAGAGCCAGAGCAGGGAGCAGAGCAGGCAGAAGGACCGAAGTACACTGCTGAGGGGAGCAGCAGGCGGCAGGAGAGGTCTGCGCGCCATGTGGTACCCTCCTCCGGTGGCCGGGGAGCAGCAAGGATCGAACCGGCGCTGCAGAGGCTGCGGGCAGCTTCGCAACCCAGTGCTCAACCGCTGCGCCACCAGGGAGGCCCACCCTCCTGCACTTCTGACTGTACCCAGTGCTTGTATAAATAAATAAATAAATCTTTAAAAAAAAAAAACCCACAAGAGACACTACTTTACACCAACAAGAATGACTACAATAAGACAGGCAGAGAGTAACAACATTGGCAAAGACAGAGAAATTAGAATTCTCATATGCTGTTGGTGAAAATGTTAAGTGGTGTAGCCTTTGTGGAAAACCTTGGCAGTTCCTCAAAAAGTGAAACAGAGTTATCATATGACTCAGCAATTCTGCTCTTTAGGTATATGCCCAAAAAAAGAATTGAAAATTTTACAAAAATGGAAGGAAGAGTCAGGGCCGTGCCCAATGTCATCCATAATAGCTCAAAAGTATTAACTTTTTTTTTTTTTTAAGATTCATTCATTTATTTATACAAGCACTGGGTACAGTCAGAAGCGCGGAGGGTGAGAGAATTCACCAGAGCCAGAGGGGAGAACAGAGCAACGAAGTACACTGCTAAGGGGAGCAGCGGGCGGCAGGAGAGGTCTGCGCGCCATGTGGGACCCTTGCCAGGCGGCAGGGGATCAAACCGGCATGGCAGAGGCTGCGGGCAGCTTCACAACCCAGCGCTCAACCGCTGTGCCACCGGGGCAGCCCAAAAGTATTAACTTTTGAGTGGATAACAAATGTCGCACTAACTGATGAATGGACAAAGTATGGTACAGCCATCTGATGGCATTACTCAGCCATGATACAAGCTATAACATGGATGAGCCTCCAAAACATACAAAATGAAGGAAGTCAGTCACAAAAGGCTACATATTATAAGATTCCCTGTATATTAACTATCCACAATAGCTAATGGGTAAGGGCTTTCCTTACAGGGTAATGAAAATGTCCTTGAATTAGACAGTAGTGATTACACTAAAAAACAGTGAATCTTCTATTTTAAAATGGTGGGTTTTGGGCCTCCCTGGTGGTGCAGGGGGTTAAGACACAGCACTATGTAGCTATCCACTGCCACTGCAGCATGAGTTCAATCCCTGGCCGGCCAGCATTATCATCTTTCTTCCTTTACATTGTTGCATTTGTGTACAAGGAGGCTTTACCAGCATTACCAAAGCAGTTATCAATTGTAAGTGACCCCTAATCTGTGAGAAAGATTTGAGTGACAGAGCAGACTGAGTGGACTGACACCAGCAGAAACACCCCCAAACAAGCAAGAAGCTTGGGTGATAACTTAAGAGTCAAAGCCAAGGTCGACAAGGTGAAACTAAGTTCATGGGCCTTCACCAAATCATTACTGGTCTTCGGGATTCAAAGAGACTAAGAGAAATATGCATTCCAACTGGAAAAAAGTTCTAAGATAGATAAGATTTTGAAGGAAAGAAAAATTTCAAAACTCTTAAGGAAATGAAACAGTGAAACAGTTTCCATTTCCAGGCTTCCCATTTCTGTGTGGCTCAGGGCAGCATTTTCTAAAATCTTTGTATTCAAAAATTTTAAGACTTAGTGTTTTCATTTAGAAAACTATTGGATAGGGGGCCTCCCTGGTGGCGCAAGGGGTTAAGCACCGCACTATGAAGCAATCCACAGCCTCTGCAGCATGAGTTCGATCCCTGGCTGGCCAGGGAGCAACCCACATGGTGTAGCAGATCTCTCCTGTCTCACCCGCTGCTCCCCTCAGCAGTGTATTTCAGTCAGTCTGCCTGTTCTGCTCCCCACTCTGTCTCTGATGAATCCTCTCACCCCCCCAACCCCTGCATCTCTGGCCTGTTCCCCAGCTCTTGTATGCATAAATAAATAAAATCTTAAAAAAAAAAACCTATCTGATAAAAGTAAATATGCTCTGTACATGTGCGTATACATACACACATGTAGTGTGTACATATGAAATAAGTGTGATGCACGGGGCCTCCCATGGTGGCGCAGGCGGTTGAGAATCGTGCTATGAAGCTATCCTCAGCCTGTGCAGCGCCGTTTCGATCCCGGCCGGCTGGTGAGGTTCCCACATGTCGCGGCAGACTTCTCCTGTCACCCCCACTGCTCCCCTCAGCAGTGTATTTCATCAGTCTGCCTGTTCTGTTCCCCGCTCTGTATCTGGTGAATCCTCTCATCCTCCCGTGCATCTGGCCTGTACGCCGGTTCTTGTATAAATAAATAAATAAATCTTAAAAAAAAAAACACACAAAAAAAAAAACAGTAAATGTGATGCACAACCTGCAGAACCTGGATGGCAGTCTCCCTGCAGAATGGTTCTAAATCTGTGGTTTTATGTATTATGTATAATGTCGTGGTGGTACATGGTGCTCTCTGGCAGCCCAGAGCCACTGACAAAAAGCAGAGGGCTAGAACCACTTCCCCCAAGGGATGGCTTTTTGAGAATGAGGTCTGACAAATATTACTAACCAAGGTCTTGTGGCTGTGCAGACAGACACAAGCAGAGGGAGAGCTGATGTCAGGGACCCCAGCAGTGACACGACAACACCACCTACTAAGCACTTGGCATGTGTCAGGTACTGCTCTGAGCACTTCACATTTCTCAACTCACTTCATCTTCCCAGCAACCCCCACTTCACAGAGGACACCAAGGTCGGCAAGGCTGAGTAACTCACTCAAGGTCACAAGGCTGGTTAAGGTATGACTCAGGCACCTGGGCTCCAGAGTTTGAAGCGTAACCACCAGACAGGACCTGAACTGGGCTCCTTGGGGATAATTATAACTCAGACTCCACAAACACAAAAGAGTCTACTGATCACAAGGCAAACGGTGATTTGGTTTCTGTAAAACATTAAATGAATAAATTTCATTTGAATGCTATGTGGGTTGTACTTTCATATTCAACTTATGTTTGAATTTTTTAAGTTGGAAGTCATAAACACAAGGTACTTACATTTTTAAGTTACCTTAAAATTAAGTATGTTTAAATGATTTTAAATATAAAATTAAACTGCATTTAAATGATTTTAAGTTACAGTTAAGTCACATAATAAAAGTAACTTACGTTTGACAGTGAGAATCTTTACTCTTAAAACATACACTCAAGGGAATGCTGGTCTCTATGGAAGCTCAAGGACTAACTTCAAGGTCAGCTCTCAGAAAGGCGGTGCTAGATATGTGCACCTGGCAGGGTCGTGTTCACCAGTCCCTCACATCACTGTCCACTGCTGCCCTGTCCTTCCTGACCCTCTTCCCTTGAACTCCCCCTAATCCCCAGGACAGCACTTTCCACACAAGGAGGTGGCTGGTCACTGATTCAATGACCTTAAGCTGGAATTTTCCAATCACAAGACTCATCAAAGATAAACCTAAGACACATGACAGAGAGAAGGCTGGCTGGTCTCTAGGAGGAAGGAGAGGCCAGGAAGGACTAGACTAGACTAGTGGATGAGCCAAAGTCACGCTGGGGCCCAGCCATCACCGGCACAGGGCTGTGCCTTCCCAAATCGTTGCTGAAATCTTCCCTTTGATATGTGAAATTCTATCTAATGTGCTCGTGTGCTCAGAAGCTATTTCTGGGGCCTACCTATAAGACATTCTGATGTACACAACTAAGCAGTAGGCCTCTGACTTAATTCTCAGACAGGCCTATGAGGGAATCTCTAAAAAAATGGAAAAACACAACTGCAAAATCGTAAGCAATCTGCCTAACATTATTGGACTTGCCACTGGTGGAACCAGGACTGAAACCAATTCTGCTCCAAGGCAGTCCCCAACACCACCCAGTCCTGGTGCTATTTCCATACCAGGTGGGAAACCTGGTCTGAAACACAGGTTGCTGGAACATGGATCTGAGTGAAATGCTTAATAAAAGGTTACCACTTTTGACCTGTCAGATGAACAAACATCCAAAGGTGTGATAACACCTTCTGTGGACAGGCTGAGAGGAAACAGGTCCATCATGATGGGTTATAAATAGGCAGTGTCTATGAAAATTACCAATTAATTTATCCTTTGGTCCAGCAATTTTGCTTCTGGAAATTTACAGAACAGAGATACCTGCACAGAACCAAAAGACCAGACACATGGGTATATATAGAAACTCGGAACTCCAATGTCCATTAAATACAGGGCTGATACAACCAACTGAAAGACATTCATACAATGGAAAAAATTTCAATAAAAAAAGAGAAAGAATGCTGATATGAAAAGCTCCCCACCAGGGCTCCTCGGTGGTGCAGCGGTTGAACACTGGGCTGCCCGAAGCCTCTGCAGTGCCGGTTCAATCCTGGCTGACAGGCGAGAGTCCCACATGGTGCGTAGACCTCTCCTGCCGCGCCCGCTGCTCCCCTCAGCAGTTGTGTTTTGTTGGTCTGCCTGTTCTGTTCCCCGCTCTGGCTCTGGTGAGTTCTCTCACCCTCCCTCGCTTCTGACTATACCCAGTGCTTGTATAAATAAATAAATTAATAAATCTTTTAAAAAAGAAAAGAAAAACTCCCCACTAGAAGGTGTAGAATAGTGTATTTATACTAGCTTTTGTGGGAAAGGGATCAGAAATGAGAAACTTAAAAAAATCTGCATATTTGTTATTTGTCATAGATACATTTAGAAGCATTGAAAGAACATGTGAGATAGCGATAATTATGGCTACAGGGGTGGAAGAGACCTCACTGTATACTTAAAATTTGTTTTTTAACCAAAAATTAATGTTAAAAAATCTGCATGCAGGGCCTCCCCTGGTGGCGCAGTGGTTGAGCGCTGGGCTGCAAAGCTGCCCGCAGCCTCTGCAGCGCCGGTTCAATCCCTGGCTGCTCCCCAGCCACCGGGCAAGGGTCCCACATGGCGTGCAGACCTCTCCTGCCGCCCGCTGCTCCCCTCAGCAGTGTACTTCGGTCCTTCTGCCTGCTTCTCTTCCCGCTCTGGCTCTGGTGAATTCTCTCACCCTCCCGCGCTTCTGACTGTACCCAGTGCATGTATAAATAAATAAATAAATAAAATCTTTAAAAAATAAAATAAAATAAAGCAGTTAAAAAAAAAAAATCTGCATGCAAAAGGCTCTGCCCAGGCTCCCTTCTCTAGTGGAGCTCATCCCCTCTGCACCCCTCCTCCACATACCTGCTGCACCCCCTTGTTGACCACCCCCTGTAGGCACCATTCATGCTGTGTGTCCTCCAGGAGGTCACAGGAGGTCACCCAAATGCATTAGGTTCCACTATATTTTTGGGAAGTTGGAAATATAGCTCTGAACTATTAGTTTCCTTTCCTCTAGATGAAGAAGCCAATTTCTTTCACAGAGTCTCAGAGATTAAAAAACTTGTGAAAGGTCACACAGTGGGCAGAGCTGGAGCCTGAACCAGTTCTGTCTGAGTCCTGTATAAACCCATTCCCCTCCAGTTACAGCCCCTGCAACTCCAGGCCCTGAGGAAGTAAGATGGTGCCACTTAGTCTTTTTTTTATACCCTAATAAGAGTTCAGTGATCAGGGTTCAGTGCTTAGTGACAATCCCGTTAGAGAAAGGGAGGAAGGGAGGGAGAGAAAGAGGAAGGACCAGAGAGGGAAGGAGCGGGGGAGGGGTACTCACTCTTGCAGGGATGGGTCTGAATCATCTGCATTTGCTGTCCCCAGGTCTGAGTCGTAGGACATGGGCTCCTCAGAACGGTCTGGACTCTTGGACCCATTCTCTTGGAGCAGGCAGCTATCAGAGTTTAGGCTGCAAGACAGCTGGGATGAACTTGCTGTGTCCAGGCTGAGGGAGGAGGCAGTGAGCTTCCTGTTCCGGCGGATCTTATGGCCTGAGTGCTGGACTTCGATGTCCTCTGATCCTGAGGAATGGGAAATTGAATCCAGAGACTCCTTCCGCTGTAGTTCTGTGCCAGAGGTAGTGAGAGGGTCAAGTTCAGAGAGTGGGCAAAGCCCAGAAAGGGCCAGTGGAGTAAGCGTCCACTCATTCAAGATGGCGGACTTGTAGGAGAGGTCAAAGGATAAGGATGTTAGTCCCTGCAGGAAGCTGAGGAGGAACTCGCCCTCCTCAGCATCTCGAAGCAGGGCCGTGGGCTGATAGTACTCGCACAGCTGGGCGTGCTCCTGGAGGAGCAGCTTCAGGTAGCATTCCATCAGGCCATCATTGAGGGCCAGCCGCAGCCAGGCCCGGCAGCGGCCCACATCCGTGCTGACAAAGATCAGGTGCTCCAATTCCGAGATGATGTGTCTGGGAATAGGGAGAACAACTTTTTTCAAGAAACGATTTCAAATCACTGAGATATCATTTTCTTCGCCAACTAGCAAGAACCAGTATTGCAAGAATGCAAATATATACAGGCATGAAAAACTCTTGGACAACAGAGTTTTGAGGGCAGTTTAGGAATATTAAACTCTGACCCCCAGTTGAGGTTGATGTCACAAAGGACATTTTCATTACAACCAGCCTATGGGCCCTATGAGCAGACATCATCTGCTCATCCAAAACATGAGTGCTGAGCCCCCTAAGTTCAAGGTTCTTGGAGCTGTGAGGACCCAGGTGAGGACATGCCCTGCCCTCAGTCCAGGGAGCTGCCTTTCAAGAGCACACAGAGGTGAGCACCATTGTTAGCACAGCTGGGGAAGGGGCCAGGCAATCATGCCCAGGCTGCAGTGAGGAAAATGCCATGGACAGGGCAGTTGAGGGATTTTAAGAGGTAAAGATGGAAGGAGACTTCTAGGCACAGGGACTGACAGAAGAGAGGCTTAAAGGACAGGAAAGCAAGAGGCCTGTAATAGTAGTGATGAGTACTCCGATTACCACTTGGGGAGGAGAGTGGGTGATTTGGTTGCAAAACCAGGTAATGCAGGATCTTGAGTATCAAACTGGTGAGACAAAGTGGGCTGATGGCCCTCACAACCTGCCGGACATCTGAATCAGCAGGGGACATTGTTCGGGATACAGCTTCTAGGACCCTAACCTAGTCTAGGACCCTAACCTAGTAAGTCAGTCTCCAGGGAAGCATTTGGGTGCTTGTAGGCTACGGGTTTTGCACAGGAAAGTGACTTGATCACAGCTATGTGGACTTCCGGGTGGGTTCCTCTGGCACAGGCCAGACCCCATGTGTACCACACCTAGTCTGACTGCCTCTGTCTGACGTAGAGGCCCCTGCTCTGAGCCACTACAGTCACCGTGGCAGGGCTCCTCTGCAGGAGTGGACCACGCGCTACAGGACTCAGCGACAGAACCGTTAGCTGAAGCTCAGTAAATGTGCATCAGCTAACTAGCCTACGGAAAGGCAAAATGAGATAAGGGGGACAATTAGAAAGCTATCATCACCCTGGAGTAAGGCAAGAAATTCAGACAAGGCCATGGCAGCAGGCAAGGAGGGAAGATGAGAGACTGATAAGGTGCCTTGGGGCCAAAGGTAGCATTAACAGCCCCCAGAGGCCTTAGTGCAGGCTTGAAAGCCCAGTTGGGAACAGGGCCAAAAAGTCACATGTCTCAGGGAGAATACTAAGATGCTCTATCGGGATTCCACTCTTCTTTTATTTATTTATTTAAAGATTTATTTATTTATGCATACAACAGCTGAGGCGCAGGCCAGAGGCACGGGAGGTTGAGAGGATTCACCAGAGACAGAGTGGGGCGCAGAACAGGCAGATCCACTGAAATATACTACTGAGAGGATCTGTAGCTGAGACAGGATCTGCTGCACCATGTGGGTAGCTCCCTGGCCGGGGATCGAACTCATGTTGCAGTGGCTGCTTGTGCCACCAAGGAGGCCACTCTTGTTTTTTTTTTTTAAATCTCATAACTTGCTATGAGTATCATATTTAGCACCCAGATGTTCGAACATTAACAGGCAGGGTAAGCAAACCTCTTCTGTAAAGGGCCAGGTAGTCAAGTGTTCCGGCTTTGCAGGCCACACAACCTCTGTGACAACTACCTAACTGCCTCAGTGAGGTAAAGGGCTGCTCCTGCCAAAGGCGACCAACCGAGGGGTTCAAAGCAGCCCAGGCCACTGCCTGAGGGGTGAGGGACTGGCTGTCTATAGGCACTGTGGCTGGGAGGCTTGGTTTAATGATAATCCCCACCTCACCCACCTGTTCTATAACATAAAACTCTCTGTTGGTTTCTTCCTCTTGGGGAGGAAGAGCTGGGTGTCCCACACTCTGAATCCCACCCTAAACCTCCTCACTCCTCTCACTTGTGGGTGACGGCCTTCAGGAGGGGCCAGAAGACAGGCTGAGGCAGAGGCTTCTGGTGGGCACTTTTCTTCCTTTTTCCTCCAGCCTCAGCCCGGATGTGCTTGGCATGCAGGCCGTGGATGAACACAGCCTCCAAGGCACTGCACATGGTGTTAGCATCTCCGTCTTCGCTGGTGACCACCGCGTCCGAGGACACGTACTGCTTCTGCAATGCCTTCACGGATCCCACAAGCTTCTTCTTGATAACCTGGACAGTGGCAAACATGACATAGGCTTGCTTTTAGCAGATCCCACGGCAACTTCTGGAATGTAACTGCCTGTCACCAAATGCATGCATGCCCACATGTGCACACACTGATTTATGTAACCATACATTCTTTCGGCAAAGCTAGCACATGCTGATCACAGAAAACAAGGCATAGAGAAGCACAGGGAAATTACACACACTACCCAGAGATAAAGTTAATAGTTTTTTTGCAAAGATATTTGTGTGGTTTTTGTTTCTTAAACCAAACTTACATTCACTGATAGTCTCACAGATCTTATGTTTAAACACTGGCCCCATCACAGTTATGGCTGTGGGAACTTGGGTTTCTACTTACAGCAGGGGTGAGGCTTTGCATAGCCAACATTCCAGAGAGTCAATAAGCTAAGAGGCAAAAAAGTGCCACTAGAGAACCAGAAAACAGGATGCTGGTCTAGATCCTAGACCCGGCAGTGAGAGGCCTAGGTTTAGCCCTGGCTCTGTAAGTCACCAGCTGGGCCACTTCAGAAATTTCACTTAACTTCTCTGAGCCTTGATTTCCTTTTCTGTTCAATGGAAATGATACTTCCTGGTCAATAGCAATCAGAGGATTACTCTTGAGGGCAGGACGTGTTTTCTGTTTGTTTGTTTATTTATTTATTAAATTGAGGAGACACTTGTTTACAAAACTGTATATGATTTAGGGCTCACACCCACCACCACTAGTCACCCATAATCCTCCACCATAGTCCACTGTGCCCCCTTCCCACTCTGCTCCCCTCTCTCTCCCTCTGATAGCCTTTATTTTGTCATATTCTAAGGGTTGTTATTCATTTGGTTTTATCTGACCCTTTGTTTTTTTCTCTATATTCCACATATAAGAGAAACCACCTAGTATTTGTTTTTCTCCTTCTGACTTGTTTCAACATTATCCACCCCCCTCCAGTTCCATCCACGTTGTCACAAATGGCAAGAGTTTATCTTTTATATAGTTGAGTAGTATTCCACTGTGTATATATACCACACCTATCTGATCCAGTCATCTATTCTGAGTACTTGGGCTGTCTCCCTAACTTGGTTATAGTGTAAAAAAGGCTGCAACGAACATAGGAATGCTTCCATTCCTTCAAGTTAGTGTTTGCGCATTCTTCAGTAACTATTTAGGAGTGAAATTGCTGGATCATATGGTAGATCTATTTTTAATATTATGAGATAGCGCCATACTGTTTTCCACAGGGGCTGGAGCAGTCAACACTTCTACCAACAGTGTATGAGGGTGGCAGGAATAGTTTTTTAATCATGCTGTGTCCTCACACTTGGCAGAGTTTCTGGCACATTTAAGAACTCAATAAATATTTGTTAAAAGTAAAAATCAGGGCCTCCCCTGGTGGCACAGTGGTTGAGCACTGGGCTGCGAAGCAGCCTGCAGCCTCTGCAGCGTCGGTTCAATCCCTGGCCACCAGGCGAGGGTCCCACATGTGCTGGTTCAATCCCTGGCCACTGGGCGAGGGTCCCACATAACGCGTAGACCTCTCCTGCCGCCTGCTGCTCCTCTCAGCAGTGTATTTCGTCAGTCTGCCTGTTCTGTTCCCTGCTCTGGCTCTGGTGAATTTGCTCACCCTTCCGTGCTTCTGACTGTACCCAGTGCTTGTACAAATAAGTAAATAAATCTTTAAAAAAAAAAAAAAGTAAAAATCAAAATCAACAAGCAACTATAAACCAGAGACACACTAGGGTGGGGGGTGGGGCGGGAAGAGGAAGGATTAGCGTCAAAATAAGTGGGGGTGCAATTGTATGGGGAATATAACCAAAATGAAAATGCATACATTGTGCAAAAATGAAATATGATATAAGAATTATATAAAATAAAATATTAAAATAAATAAATATTTGTTAAAAGTATAAATTATAAAATGTACAGAAAGCCCTACCAAAATATAAAGATAGCTCTATCATAAGTATGTCAAATTTCCAAAGTGTTGGGAAAAGGACTGGAAGGGACTGCAGAAAAACTGGCTTGAATGGTTAGGTAATCGACTGGATGATGGAAAGTTTTTTACTGTTTTGTCCCGATTTTTTTAAAAGATTTATTTATTTATTTATGCATACAAGAACTGGGGTGTAGGCTAGAGATGTGAAGGGGTAAGAGGATTCACCAGAGACAGAGTGGGGAGCAGAACAGGCAGATTTACTAAAATACACTGCTGAGAAGAGCAGCAGGTGAGACAGGAGAGGTCTGCTGCGCCATGTGGGTCAGCTCCTTGGTCAGGGATCGAACAATAGCTTCATGGTGCTGAGACTTAACCCCTTGTGCCACCAGGGAGGCCCTGTTTTGTTCTGATTTTTGCCAGAACAGTTCATGTTCATCAAAAAGTTAAATGTTCTTCTTTTTATAACAGCTTTGATGAGACATAATTTATATAGCATAAAATTCACTCCATTTAAGTATATAGTTCAATGGTTTATAGTATATTCACAGACCCGTGCAACCATCACCATCTAATTTTAGAACATTTGCATGACCCCAAAAAAGAAACACTGTGCCCATTAGCAGTTACTCCCTATTCCCCTCTCCCCTGGTAACCCCCTAATCTACTTTCTGTCTCTATGGATTTGCCTATTCCGGATATTTCATAAAAATGGTATCCTGAGACCCTCTGTGCCTGGCTTCTTCCACTCACCATATTTTCAAGGTTCATCTATGCTGTGGCTCACATCAGCACTTCATCCTTTTTACTGCCAGATAATATGCCATTGCATGGAGATACCACAGTTTATTTACTCATTCATCAATAAGACATTGGTTGTTCTTACTTTTTGGCTATAATGCTGCAATAAACACTGCTGCACAAGTTTTTGTATAGACACATTTCTGATTCCATGAATCTACACTTGGTAGTAGAATTGCTAGATGGTGGGTAACTCTGTGTTTCACTTTTTGAGGAAATGCAAAACTGTTTTCCACAGTGGCTGCACCATTGCCTATCCTCACCAGCAACTTAGGAGGGTTCAATTTCTCCACATCCTCACCAAAACTTCTCTTTGTCTGCCATTTTGATTGCAGACATCTTAGCAAGTGTGAAGAAGTATTGCATGCTTTTGATTCACATTTCTCTAATGTCTAACGATGTATTTTTCATGTACTTAATGGCCATGCTTATACCATCTCTAGAGAAATGGCTCTTCAAATCTTTTGCCACTTTTTAATTGGGTTATTTATCTTTTTTATTGCTGCACTGTAAGAGCTCTTTATATATTCTGGATAATAGACCCTTTAAAGTACAAAAATTATTAATTTTGAATGTTCTTTTTTTTAGATGTAAAGCTATTATTAGTACAGTCTGTAAAAGTACAAACACTTCCTACCACTGAAAGCCTACAAGCTAGGGTATGCAGAGATAAATAAAGCATACCCTGAAGAAATTCTTACACCCCAGGAGTGGGTCCATATGGTCTGTGTCAGGAGTTCGAGCTTTCTATGGCTCTGCCCCAACCCTGGAGGACTCTGGGGAAAAGGGTCAAATTACCATTTGGGAAAAGGGCCTTTGAGGAAACCTGCGGTATTGCCAAGTGGGGTCAGACACTATAGTGGAGAGCAGAGGGAATGTGCATCTGAGGCCCACAGATTCCTTTCAAAAAGAAAGTTCTCTGAATTTTGGCATAACAGTAAAGAGGGAAAGGAAGGCCTCCCTGGTGGCGCAAGGGGTTGAGCACACCACTGTGAAGCTAGCCACAGTTCGATCCCTGGCCAGGGAGCTACCCACATGGCACAGCAGACCTCTCCTGTCTGGCCCGCTGCTCCCTGAGCAGTGTATTTCAGTCAGTCTGCCATTCCTGCTCCCCACTCTGTCTCTGGTGAATCCTCTCACCCTCCATACCTCTGGTCTGTACCCCAGTTCTCGTATGCAGAAATCAATCAATCTTTATTAAAAAAAAAGGAGGGAAAGGAAGCCCTGGCTTCTTAGGATTATGCTGAGAGACCAGCTCAAAAGCTGACTCCACTTCCTGCCTCTCCAAGGGTCACAGAGACAGGCCGGAGCCCAGTAGTACACAAAGGGCTTTCCAAGGGAGGGAGGAGGAAGGAGTTCTGATGAACTGGTCACAAACAACTGTGGCTGAAAAAGCCTGGAAAATGGTAAATATTCAAAGATGTAGTAGACTACCAAGTTACTCCCCCTGCTCTAAAACAAACCAGTGCCTGGGAATATCTGTTTCTGGCCAATTCAGTGCAAGGCCAAACGGTAACCAAATTAGGCCCAAGAGCACACACAGGGCTGAAGGTCTGAGTGGAAATCCTTCAAGTAACTGATCTTAACTCCCCACTATTTTTCATAAATTCTCACTGGGTCACCAAAATGATAATCTAGAAAGGGCAGATCTCCTCAAACCCTGCTTCTGCTATAACTTTTTCTCAGTTGGAGGCCTCTCTTCCCAGACAGTGCACATTCATTTCAAAGTGAGAGAAGGGACCGAGATGGCAGTCCTGTCATCTCTCCCCCTTCCTTGACCCTCCCGTGCCACCTACCGGGATGGCAGCCCGGGGATCCAGTCCATTCTCCACCACTGAGAGCATCTCCACTCACGCAGCAACACCCATGGAGCATCACATGACACCTGCAGAGAGAGATGGCTGGCAGGTGAGCAAGGGCCCAACTCACCCCAGGGGCAGGTCAGCCACTGTACTCAAAACTGCAACTGAAAGGCCTCTGAACAAAAAGTAAAAACTGAAAGTGTGGGCCTCCCCTGGTGGCGCAGAGGTTGAGCACTGGGCTGTGAGGCTGCCCGCAGCCTCTGCAGCACCAGTTTGTTCCCCGGCTGCCGGCGAGGGTCCCACACAAAAAAAAACAAAAACCGAAAAACAAAAAACTGAAAGTGGATGTCAAGGAAGGAAGAGAGGAAGGGGAAAAAGTCTGAGGGTTTAGATCTTGGGAGATGAGGGGCTCTGGGAGCCATAGGTGGGTCTGCCCCAAGGAGTAGGTGGTAAGGGCACTTTGTCACACCAAACGGGGAAGGTGCCACCACCTACAGGTACCAGGGACTCACATTCTGTGTCTGGGCCTGCAACTACCTACCCCCGACTTATGTGCCAGTCCAGTGCCTGCGAGCTCAGCAGTGAAAAAGCACAACTGGCATAGTTTCAAAGGGGAGCGCGCTTGCACAGTATACTTCTCCTATGGGCTTCGGGGGTATAGCTGGAACAACACAGGGGGATGTCTAGGGGAGATCACCAGTTCCAACCCTGACTTGCTACTAACCAGCTAGGCATGCTGGGACACCCTATCAGAACTGTCAGATGAAGACTGTGGAAAATACCCAACATGGGGCCTGATAGGTATATGTGCAAATGCTATCTGCAACGCCAAATCTAACAAAGGTGCTAAGTGCCTAAATGAGCAGCAGTACAAAGAATGTACTGCCCAAGTCAGTACATAGTCAGATCTCTCAGGGCAGCTGGCTTCCTCCTGGGATGGGGGGAAAGGCCTCTGCCTGAGCCAGAGAGGGCTGCTGGCTGGCCTCACCCCACCTCAGCAACTTGGACAGACCAGGACTTGGCAGGCACAGTCACATCTAGACAGGCCTCTAGTGACCACAGAGCTAGAACCAAGAAAGATTCCTGCTCTCACTGCTCTCAGAAAAATCAAGGCCCAAAGAAGCTAATAAAACCAAGTCATGCTAAATGGGTTTTGTAACCTTTACATATATTGCTTCACTCCTTCCTCATGACCCCTCTATAAGTGATACTTTATTATCTTCATGTGACAGTTAAGAAACAGAAGCAGGCCCAGGCTAGGGAATTGCCCGAGAGCCCAGAGTGGATTTATGGCTCTGCCACCTGCCCCCGAGGATGATTCCAACCCCAGTTCGAGGGAAACCACCTGCTCCTGATCGTGAGCATCACCTCTTCCCCCAGGAGAGCAGTGGAGCCTGAGGTTGCAAAGGAGAGAAGTGGGGTGGCCCCAAATGGTAGAAGATGCTATCATTCAACTCCTGGAGTTGGCAGAGGGTAAACAGGACCCAGAGCCCATCTCCCCATGTAAGGACACGCAGCGGGAGGTGTGTGTGAGGATGCCCTCCGCAGAGCCTTCTAGGTTCAGAGTGAGGCAGACCCCTCCCTGGCCACAGCCCCCGTCTCACTGCCTCACCCCTCACCACACCCTCCTCACCCACCAGCCACCACCCAGAATTCTCAGGGCCCTCTTCTGGAGACCAGCTCTACACCCCACCCACCAGGGGATTGGGAAAAGGGGTGTGTCCTTCTGGAAAAGTCCTAACCCTAGAGGTTGGGTTCTTCGGAGCTATCCCGTGCAGGCCAGGGTTCAAGTCCAGGATCTCCCCCTTCTTGCCACAGTCCTCAAGCGCCAAAGTGTCCCACCCTCAGTCAGCCACAAGGCCAGGTACTCAGATCTTGACAGTCTGAATAATAGCAGCCTGGGTCCATTAAGGCCTCATTAACTAATTAAAGAAGAATAATAAGAGTATTTATTGGAGGAAGGAGGAACTATCAATAAGTGCTCAGCCAGTAATGTTCTGCTAAAAAAACAAAACAAAAACAGTAAACTGCCGAGGTCAGAGGGAGCGCAGCTAGACAAGAGCAAATAACAGTCTCCCCAAACTGTGTCACAAAAGCCACAAAACGACGGACAAGAGCCCAGAAGAATTCAGACCACCACCTGACAATTGACAAAATAGGCCTAAGACTTTGGCCACATTTCAGGACACACCTTCTATCCAGGAAGCTAAAACCTAACCTGCACATGTCTGTACCATAATGCCTCGGGCAGGCAGGACTGACAGAATAGAACAAAAGTACTCCCAGGAGGAAGCAGAACAGGAACCAGAAGGAGAGACTGCTGGGCGAGTGCTCTATCACCCTTGGGGTAACCTAGACCCCAAATCTACCATTCGATGGGGCCAGTTTCACTTCCTTACAACACTCTTTATTGACACCAAGAACCAAACCAGAGAAGTGTGTTTTCAAAGAGACGTAGGCTGAAGGGCATGAAGAGAGACTCAGGCAATACTGCGACAGGACTCTGACTGCTCGCTGTGGTGGTTTAGCAGGAAAAGGTGCCTCCCCTGAGCACTGACTCACCCCTACACAGCCCTCCAAGCTTCTTGATCCATGTCATTCTGACAACTGTCCTGTGAGAGAAAGATGATCATTCCTGCTTTAGAGAGGAGAAAACTGAGGCTCAGTAGAAAGGGGTTCAGGGAAGGGGCAGAATTCTTTGGTTTCCTCATTCCAAACCCTACACCCTTCGCCAGCTCAGAGTGTCTCAGGTCTCTGCTTCAAAGTGTTTCAGGCAAACATACTACTTATGGGCTCTTCGGCACCCAGATCCTCCATTTTATTAAATAAGGCCTAAAATTAACCAGACGGGCCTCCCCGGTGGCGCAGCAGTTGAGTGCTGGGTTGCGAAGCTGCCCTCGCAGCCTCTGCAGTGCCGGTTCGATCCCCAGCTGCTCCCCGGCCACCGGAGGAGGGTCCCACGTGGCACGCAGACCTCTCCTGCCGCCCGCTGCTCCCCTCAGCAGTGTACTTCGGTCCTTCTGCCTGCTCTGCTCCCCGCTCTGGCTAATTCTCTCACCCTCCCGCGCTTCTGACTGTACCCAGTGCTTGTATAAATAAATAAATAAATCTTTAAAAAAATAAAATAAAATTAACCAGAAACAATGTTGTGGATCAGATCTGTAATGCCAATCCACTGAGCCCAGGACTGCCCCTGGTACCTAGGTTTCAGCTGCCTTCTCTGAAATGTTCTGTTGTCCTGGCAGCTTTTCTGCATGACACTGCCCAGCCTTCTACATACTGTACGTCCAATTTCACTTCCTCCACAGATCAAGGAAGAAAGAAAAGAGAATAGCTTAGATGAGACTTACACTAAAAGAAGAAATGGATGAGGCAGCTTTACTGCTTTCAAAACACTTCAAGCACGAGTAAACAGCAACATCCTCTCCCTAGAGACTTCCCAGCCATTTTTCAACAGTCTCCTGCTTACCGCCTGGATCCAATCCTGTGCCTAGCTACTCAAAACAAAGCCTGGTGTTTAAGCCATCCAGCTGCTATACCCATTGATGAATCATGTTTTTCATTTGGAAAAGAATGACAAAGTTATCGGTTGGAAAAGAATGACAAAGTCCCCTTCTGATTCAGACAGGCAGCTGATCTTTGAGCCATGGGAGTTCGAAAAGAGTAAAAAACACCTTCATCCACCTGAACAAAGTGGGATTTCTGAACAAGTGTCCTGTGAGGGATGGGTTGGTGGTGTGTGTGGTGAAAGAAGTAGGCCTTTGAGCAAATACCAACCGAGGATGAGAAACTTCTAGCTTATGATCCCTCAGACCAAGTGAGTAAAAGGCAGGAATATGAGGCTGGAGAACTCTGGGTTCCTTTCTTTCCACCTTCCTCTCATCCCTTCCTCTTATATTCTCATTCCATATGTCTTAGGATTCTAGCGAAGACCAAACTCTGAATGAGTGAAAATAGGAACTCTGCCCAAGTCTACCATCACCGCATTCCTAGTGCCTACAACAGTGCATGGCACACAGTGGGACACAAGAAATACTTGAGTGCTGAGCAAGCATACTCAAGAAATACTTGCTAAATGCACTGATAAAAATAAGACACAAGGCAGTTATCTCCACTTCACAGACTGAGAAACTGAGACAGACCACTCTGCAGTGGGGCGTGGGGGATTTCCCGTGGAACGCCTTCTATTAAATCAAGCTGCCAACAGGCTGAAACTGATCAGATATATCACACCACAAAGGGGGGGGCACTGAAGGCAGAGGGGTACTGAGTTGTCAAAGGAATGAGACCATACAAGGCAAGCAAAGACAATGGGTCCTCTTGCTGCCAAATGTCCTACCCTTTGAAGCCTGGCTACCAAAATTTGGTACACCCAAAAATGTGCAAAAGAGATAGATTATAAATGCTGAGGATGAGGCCTGGGTGTCAGGGATGTCCCCCTGCCTCCTTACTCTGAGATAAGTCAGTTCCCTGCGTTCAGGGGTAACCACAATGGCCACATAAGTGATCCAGCACCTGTGAAGAGAGACAGCAATTCAACTGCCTCTGTACCTACCTAGACCTCAGTCTCCCCAGGACCCACTCACTTATTCTCTTCACAACACGTAACATCACCTTTGACACCCATTGTGTTCCCTGTGTTCTGTGTTGGGACTGATGGGCAATCAGTTCTGGCTGGGAGCACTGGGTAGGGGTCCTCTAACAAGTGTCAGGACAGCACACAAGACATGGTGCTGTGACCTCAGCCAACGGTGCACAGCAGCACTCCCTGCTTCTCTGGCCCAGGACACCGCAGCACTCCCTGCTTTTCTGGCCCAGGACACCAGCCAAAAGGAAGTGATGGCTTCCAGTGCCCCAGCCTGAGTGAGCTGGTAAGTAGGCATCCCTCACCTTCCAAGTATTTGGATGATATCTTCCATACCAGCAGCCGGCACAACTAATTTAATATGAGTGTTAGAAACAATTCCGGAGGGGAGGTACAGGGGATCAGATACCCAGGAAAAACCCTTGTGCCAAGGTGGGGGTTAGGGGTGGGAATCGACCCCTCTACACTTACCATTCAAGCTGCTTGGTCTCTGTCAGGCTCTGAGCAAGCACCTGGATTTGGCTGTTCAGGGTGGGTTGTGGGGTTGGCAGGAGACTCTGTACTGTCTCAGATTGAATGGGGGTTGGGTCAAGGAGGAATGAACGTACAGTTGGGGTGAAGAGTAAAGATGGGACAGAAGAGGCGAAAGTTCATGGAGACCTTGTTTTTAATGAGATTGGGTGAGGGTGATAGGAACTGGGGTAGCAAGAGGAAGGTGCAGCTTATCAAAGTCTTAGGGAAGAGGGTGTCTTGGGGATGGCTGGGGAGGGAAAGGAAGTATAGGGTGGCCTTGAAGTCAGGGGTTGAATCTGTTGAAGACACAATCCACATAAATCTTGGCAAAGGGCTGAGATCAGTTATCAAGAAAGGGATGAGCTCGCGGGGCCTCTCCTTGGGTGGTGGTCTTCCATGGAAGTGGGACAGAGGGCCGGGGGGGTGGGTGTTGTTTAGGATGAGAAGACTTTGGGGAGCTGACCAGGGGTGTGTGGGAGCCTGGGATTAAGAAGCTGAAGCGGAAGAGAGGAAACCTGAACGGCGGGTCTCCAGGTTTGCGGGGAGTCTTAGGATCGCCAGAGAGGTAGAGGGTGAGAATGAAATGTGCTGGGGGAGGCGGAGGGAAGTGGCCGACACCCGGGCTGGACATGGGCTGGAGAGGGGTCAAGGATGAGGCTGCATTTAGACGAGACCAGCGGTGAGGGGCGGCCGTGGGTGGGCTGGGGGGCGGCGGCCGCGGCAGCGCGGGGGTCCGAGCGGGGCGAGGGCCGGGAGGGCGAGGGCTCCGAAGCAGGACACCCCGGTACCCAAGGGTTAGGGATCACGGCGGGCTGCGGCCCCTCGCCCGTTGGCGCCTCGGCCCCGCCGCCCTCTGCAGCCCGCCTCGCCCGGGACCCCTAACTCACCACAGGGAGCGGAGGAGGCGCGGGGACACTGCCGGGGCCGCAGCCCCTCAGCCGCTGACCAGACGAAGCGACCTCGCAGCCACTGACAACAGGAAGTAGCGACCGCGGGACCTGACGCCATCACGTCGGCGCACTGTTTGGCCCCGCCCCCGGCACGCGGAGCCAATCGCAGGGCCTAGGGGAGGCGAGGGGCGGGGCCAGCGCGCTCGCAGCCTGCGGGCTCCCCGCCTCGGGGGGGGGCGTGGCCTGTCCGGACAGCCCAGGGCTGCGTAACCCGCCCCGCGCCGAGGCCCGGACGCCCCTGCTGGACGCCCCGCGTCCCTCTCGGCCGCCCAGCACGGGGCTGCGTCAGGTTAGGTCCTGGCTTCGGGCCTCGCCTGGGCTCAGCACCTTCTCGTGACGTTGGGCGGTCACCGGGCCGCCCTCGGCGAGGCTGCGCACCTGGCAATGGAGCAGCGCCCGCCTTGTTTTTGCCTCCCCGAAGCCATCAGAGACCGAGCCCAAACTGGAACCTCCTGCCTGGAGGCGCTCAGGAAAAACAAACATGTTTTGATTACACCTTTTATCGAGGGAGCAGCTCTTGGTCCCCGCGGGCGTTCTGGAACCCGCCCATCAGCCCGGCGAGCGAGCACAGCCCGCTGCAGCGCGCGGGGCGCAGGGGGCGCTTATCTCGCCTAACCTGGGCTGTGGAAGACACTGCCACCCTGACAGTACTTTTCGTAGGCCCCTTGAGATAGCATTGAAGACAGAAACTTCTAGACAGAGTTTTACTGATGTTCAAAAAAGAGAAGTAAGTCCCAGTACCCTGAAGGGTGAAAGAGTGAAATGCACGCACATGGTGTGCATTTCCACAGATTTTGTACACGGCCCTGAGTCCATCAGCTAGAGGAAATAATCTCAGATCACCGTGTGATTTCATGATAACCTGCAAAGTGCTTTGGGGCTAGAGAAGAGTCCTGAAAATTATTCTGGAGGTGACTTGGGATTTGAGCCTTTCAGGTGGCTGGAGGGGGATTGCCAGGGAAGGGGCTAGCAGGGAAGTCTCTGGGGGCAGGGGATGCAGGCTGAGCCCAGGGGTGGAAGGCTGCACCAGGAGTTCACAAGGAAACTAGTGTTATAGGACAGGGAGAGGGGCAGCCCAAACCCCGCAAACCTGCCTATTCTAAATGGGTTCTGCCATCCGCCGCATCAACACAAAACATATGAGACTTTAATGGGAAGGAACTTTAATAAAACTAGGAAACAATACAGGAAAGGCAAAGAATCTAGTTTCTAAATGAAGCACCCAAAGTTACCCATCCCCTCGTGGGTAAAAGTCCATCCATATGGGATCGGCCCAGAACAAGGCCCCAAAGCCTGCTACAAGTCTAAAGCATCTTCCAGTGGGGACCCACAGCAAAGGGTCACAAACAACCGGACAAGCCCGGAAGGAAAAGAGCAAAATCAACATCAAGATAAAAGCTGCCATTGTCACCTCCCCACGGGTCTCACCCACATCTGTGTCACCCAGTCCACGACCAAAAGACAAGCGCAGTTTCTTTACGTGTCTCTAGGCTCCATGCGCCTCCTCCAGGTCTCCTGGCTCCATCCTGCTTCCTTCCTTAGTCTCTTCTGCAGCTTCTCCTCTTCCTGCTCAGCTCCACCCTTCCTTGGGTGGGGCAGGGAACCTGGAACCTCCCCCTTTCCTGGGGACCACCCTGTTACACTAGGAAGAAAAGGAAAGGGGCCGTGCCCCCCCCCCCCCCCCCCCCCGCCCACACACACACAAGTTGGAGGCCAGTGCAGGAAAGGCTCAAGACGTTTGCAAAGCCAGTTCACATCCCACTGGTCTGTCAGCTTAGATTTCAAGCACTATCCAGAGTTACTCAGAGCTAGACAGGGGAACTGTTGTAGAGTAACCCCGATACAAAACGGGGTGCCTGACTGTGGGTCCTCACCCGCGCGCTTAAAAGGACTTATCAATGTTCTACTGCAGGCACACGTGAAAGGTTAATAAAAGGTTTATTTACAAGGGAAGGGGAAAGGAGGAAATGTACAGCTCTGGGAGAAAAGTGGGAGACAAAGTTTTAAATGAGTCCTACCCGATCCGCCGATCAGGAATCCCAAAATGGTGCTCTCAGAGTTCGCCGCCAGCCAGGAGCGGTGAAGCCAGGAGGCGAGCGATCGCGAGCCAGAGAGACCCCAAGGCCCACGTGTTTGGTTTTTATATCCAACCTGGCTGCCCAACTCCACCCTCAGGTCCCAGCCACCCTCCCTTTGGTGGTGACGGGATTTGTCTTTCCCAATGTCTTGATGGCTTTAGTCTGGAGTGGGGGTGGGGTCCACAAAGCCTGTATGGGATTAGCTCAGAACATCCTTTCCCCCTAACAGAACTACAAACATCCAAATCCCCTGTGGATAAGTCCAGCATGCAGATTCCTGACCCCAATCCAGCCCTAAAGAGTCACTTTAGGATGGGATCCAAACTTTGGGCTTGACCCCTTACCCCCACACCCTACTCTGAAGCATAATAAAATGTGAGAATCTCTGCCCTAACCTGGTTGATGAGGGGTGAGAAGTTTACCATTTGTGAAAAAAAGAAGTCCCTGCTGTTTGCTTCGTAGGAATTGTAATCTGTTTTCTATTCCTGACCGGTTACCTGGAAGGTGGGCCCCATTGTTATCCCATGGTACAAATAAGAATACCAGCTTAACAGAGAGTAAGGAACTTGGGGGGCCCACAGCCACACTGTTGTAGAGCAACCCCGATACAAAACGGGGTGCCTGACTGTGGGTCCTCACCCGTGCGCTTAAAAGGACTTATCAATGCTCTACTGCAGGCACACGTGAAAGGTTAATAAAAGGTTTATTTACAAGGGAAGGGGAAATGAGGAAATGTACAGCTCTGGGAGAAAAGTGGGAGACAAAGTTTTAAATGAGTCCTACCCGATCCACCGATCAGGAATCCCAAAATGGCGCTCTCAGAGTTGGCCGCCAGCCAGGAGCGGTGAAGACAGGAGGCGAGCGATCGCGAGCCAGAGAGCCCAAGGTCCACGTGTTTGGTTTTTATATCCAACCTGGCTGCCCAACTCCACCCTCAGGTCCCAGCCACCCTCCCTTGGTGGTGATGGGATTTGTCTTTCCCAATGTCTTGATGGCTTTAGTCTGGAGTGGGGGTGGGGTCCACAAAGCCTGTATGGGATTAACTCAGGACATCATTTCCCCCTAACAACACAACTAATAAATGGTTGAAGCAGAAATCTCACCCAGCTCTTTCTGATTCTAGCACAGTTGAGTGGCTGAGAAGTGGATTTTGAAGCTTAGGTTTGAATCCCACCTTCCCCCCCCCCCCCCCCCCGTATTGTTTGTTAGACTTTTCCTAAACTGAGCAGGGCCAGGGCAACCCAACAAGTATGTGACTATCTGAGAGAGCCGCTCTAGTGTCAGTATTTTTCACAGTCCCCAATTTAGAAACTTCTAAATTGAATGTTATAGGAAAAGAGAAGTAAGTCACAATACCCGATGGCTTCTCAGGGTCAGGCTGAGGAGCCAGAGAGTATGATTTCAGAGAAGTTTCAAAAACTCTGACCTTGGTTCCTCATCTGTAAATTGGGGAAATATCAATTGATATGAGGATTAAATATGATAATATCCTTAGGATATTTTCTGGTCTGTTATAAGCATTTCAAGATGACTAGCTGTTTATTACTATTACAGTTTTCAGTAATTCTCAACCTCCCAATGGGTCAGCTCCCTGCCTTTAAATGTTCTGGAGTGAGACCCTCTCTTGTTTGAGCCTCAGGTACAGCCTGACTTGGCATCTGATTGCAATCATCAAACCAGTATTAATACAACCATCTCTCAACACTGGACTAGCTAGTGTTCTCCTTGGTTCTGCTGTAGGAAGTTGGTTCATCCCACTTTCTTTTTAAAAATGGATTAAACAATTTTTTATTTGTCAATTTTACCTCAATAAAGTAGGACAAAATAAAGATCACAAAATAACCCAAAAGTCTTGTTACACATATCGTTTACAGTTCACATAGTATTAGAGAAAATCAAAGGCTGATGAAACATAGTGACCCATGGCAGTTCTTTGCCTCCACTAACCCCCCACCCTCCTGAGCCCAGCCCATCACCCAGGCCTCACTGGGCCTGGGTGCTCTGGGGGTAGGAAAGGCTCACTTTTAGCTGAATCTTCTGGGACTTATCTCCACTCTCTTGCACTTCTACTTGATTAAACCATTTTATTCCCTGTCCATTGACTTCCTAGGACCCTCCCCAAAGGGTTAGTTCTTTCATATCCCCAACTCCCAGTCCATTCTTGAGGTTAGGACACTGTTTTCAGTTAATTAACAGCGTTTACAGAATCATGGCTATTGTAAATATTGTTCACCACAGAGCTTAATAATGTGCTCTGATTACATCTTTTCCCCCACCCCCAAGCATTTAATTTCTCTGTCTTTCAGTGCTGCCTGCCATTACCCCATTTCACCTGTGCTCCAGTAGGTAGTGCCCGCAGCAGTTCCCCGCAGGGCCTCTCTGCTATGTGTTCTAGTTACCCCCTGGGCGCATGACACAGCTGTCCCGCTGGAGCTCCCTTGGCTTCCTGGTTTGGGACTTCATTTCCTGGCTCCCTTCTCATTTTGCTGTCTTGGCTGAAGCATATCCTCACTTAAGAATCCCTTTCTAGGGCCTCCCTGGTGGCGCAGCGGTTGAGCGCTGGGTTGCGAAGCTGCCCGCAGCCTCTGCAGCGCCGGTTCAATCCCTGGCCGCCGGGCAAGGGTCCCACATGGCGTGCAGATCTCTCCTGCTGCCCGCTGCTCCCCTCAGCAGTGTATTTCGTCAGTCCGCCTGTTCTATTCCCCGCTCTGGCTCTGGTGAATCCTCTCACCCTCCCGTGCTTCTGACTGTACCCAGTGCTTGTATAAATAAATAAATAAATCTTTAAAAAAAAAAAAAAAAAGAATCCCTTTCTAGTGTTCAAAGCCAGAATGGTCTCTGGACCTCTTCATGACAGTAAGTAGTTAGTTATACCTTTAGTAGCTATTAAATGGAGAAAAATCACCATGAAGCACTGCTTTTAAATGAATGTGTGTTTTATTTAACACAGCGGC